TCCCAGTGTCTGGCTACATTGTCAACGTGACATCAAAACAAGATAAGGCCCAAGTGAAAACGGTCAACACAAGTGTACATTTAGTGGCGTTTGAGAACTTAAAGACTTTCACCAACTACTGCGTTACTGTTGAACCGCTGACAGTTTTAACAGGACTTGGAAGAGATATTTGCTATTATTTTACAACAGACGATGATAGTAAGTTTGCTTATCTACTTTGGGGACTTATTTTTCGCAGGAACCTGATATTTTTCTATTACGTTAGTATAATAATGATGGTTTATTAAAATACACATGGTGGTATGAATTACAATGTGCTTACATAAGTTACAACTAAAAATAAAATTACATTTGTTTCAGAGGGACTGGGATTACAGGCTATTTATGAGTTACTTACAATTCAGATATAGATAAAGGACAATACTAGAGTTAATTAGACTTGTAAGATTAGTTAATTTTCGCCATTGCTGGAAAAAAACTAGAACCGAAGCGTTTTGTTCTATACTGGAAGTGGCTAGAACTGCTACTGTTCCTAAGATGATAAGAGTGGCATTCGGATCGCACGGGAGGGAAAAGGCGGTGCAGCTGGCCATCCGGGTTATTTTTGATATTATGCCACACTTTAAGACACAGGTGGGCGCTTCTATCCTCTAAACTGGTAATGTTGGCTCGTGCAAGAGCCTGTTGATAGTGCAGGTCAGGGTATACGATTCGCAGGGCCCTCTTCTGGATAGCTTCAAGCTGGTCAATGAGGAAGCGAGGAAGTCAAGTAGCCCAGACAACAGAAGAGTATTCTAGGACAGAGCGAACCAGGGCGCAATAGATGGTGACAAGGTTCACTGGAGGGACCCCAGCGCTCTTCAAGACCCTGAGAATGTGCAGTCGCTTAGACGCATTGGAAACGATTTCGTTGGTGTAATCGTTCCACTTTAGGGTGTCACACAGGGTCAGACCAAGTACTTTGTAAGATGACACTGCCTCTAGAGGTAAATTATTGCTGGAGAGCATTGGAGAGACAGGCTTGGTTTTGAGTGGACAAATGGTAATGATCTTGCATTTTTTAGGGTTGAGGTTCATGTTGTTCTGCTGGGCCCATTGCGAAATGCAGTTGATGTCGTTCTGCAGAGATGACGCCTCCCTCAAACTGGTGACCTCAGATATTGTAACGTCATCGACGTACTTCCAGTGGCTCGGGCGGAGGGGGGAGTCAATAGCCAGGTCATTAATCATTCTCAAAAAGAGGATTGGACCCAATTTGGTGCCCTGGGGACACCAGCATGTACCGGCATCCACTCTGAGATGGAGTCCAAGAGCTTAAGAGCCTGGCGGCGACCACTGAGGAAGCTGCATATCCAACTGATCAACCAAGATGGTATGGTCAATATGATCAAATGCTTTACTAAAGTCTAGAAAGCACACGCAGAGGAACTTTCCAGGGCAGTCAAGAGACGACAGCCAGTTGTGCAGCATATCCAGAAGGCAGTAGTTTGTAGACGTACCTCTAAGGCTGCCGAACTGTTGGAGGTCAATATGGTGTTTAACGTCGTCTATCAGCCACTCGACAAAGAAATCTTCTAGCACCTTATAGAGCACTGGGGTCAGGGCGATAGGTCTTAGGTCCCCATCACCTGTGACTGGTTTGACCTTTGGGACGGGTGTTAGATGGGAGTCCTTCCACCGTTCTGGAAACACGCCAGATGACACTGAGCAATTGAAGATCGCAGTTACCGGTTCGGCAAGCTCGGGTGCAAATTCTTTGAGGAGGCGCGCAGGAATACCATCTGGCCTTGACGCCTTGTAGGCACTAAGACCAAGTAGCTTACGACATACAGCTGAGGTGGTAATAGTTGGAGGTCGATCCGGCGATGGTAAGTATGTAGAGAGGGCGGCGGTATCGAGTGGTTGGATGTCAGATGTAACAGATGTAAAATAACTGTTCAGACGAGTGGCAAGGGTTTTACCCGAGATAATGTTGCCATGTTCGTCAGGATAGTTTAACTCGGAATCGGTAGAAGATTTACCAGCAAGCTTGCTCACCAGGCTTCACCAGCTTCTAGGGTCTGAGGTTTTAAGACTCTTCACTTTGCGGGCGAAGAATTCCTTCTTGCGCTTACAGATTGCCATGCGCACTTTTTTCCTGAGGAGTCGCCATCTTTCATTAGATCCAGAATGATACGCGCGCTGCCGCTCCAGAATTAGTGATTTAATTTCGGCAGACATCCAGGGTTTGTCAGTCGGATGTATTTTGACACTCTTAGCCGGGAAGTAGATGTTGATTGCGTTGCAGAGGTCATCAGAAAACGCCGTTGTCAGACTGTCCACCGGTAAGTAGTCAACTGCGCATGAGTGTGCAAACCAGCTATGTGCACTAAACCATCTCCCAAAGGCATTGAGAGCGGACTCAGGAAAGCGACGCATTTTAACTACTTTTTTCTTAGCCGTCAGTTTGCTAGAGCGATAGTTAGGATTGGGTACCCAGTGAACCGAGCAGTGGTCAGAAGACCCTAAGTGCGCGCTTACAACAGGCTTGTTATAGTAAGAAGCTAAATTTGAGATCACTAAGTCTAAAACACTATTACCTGGGCTCGCGGACAAGCTGTTTTAGGGTGTGGTTTGTTAGAATGTTCGTAACGTCCAGGGTGTTAAAATCACCTAAAAGGACCACCCCGCAGTCTGGATGTGCGGACTTAACAGAGTCAATACGCTCGATGATATAACTAGTACGAGCCCGCTGTGCGTCAGCGGGTGCATCCGGGAAATACATAGCACCAACGATGATGCCAGAGAATGGACGGGGCAGGCGCGGAGGGCGAAGCCTTAGCCACATGCATTCATGGTCTGGTGACTCAAGGTCAGACCTCCCTTTAAAGGGGATGCTAGATGAGACAATAGTGCAGACACCACCTCCACGAGTTGGACGGTGCAACCACGTGATATTATGCTGGGCATAACAATGTCTGTAGCTGAGGGTTCGTTGCGATCACATGTACTCTAGCTACATTGCTTTTATCTCCTGATCCTAGCATTAACAATAACAGGATTTTCTGAAACTCAGTAAATAACGCATGCAATATGTCCTTGATCTTTAGTTCCAGACCTCCCACCGCAGAATATCACCGTGGAAAGCCGTGGTTCAGTGTTGCATTTGAAATGGAAACCAGTCCCTGAGCAAAATCGAAACGGAGTCATCCTGGGTTATAAACTGATTATAAAGTTGACTAGTGCAACGTACCATCAACAAAAGCCAAATGATGAGGACACGGAGCATTTGTCGCGCTTTGCCACTGTCCTGGAAGCTAACGTTTTCTTCTTCGAATTGCGTACTGTTGAAGCGTTTACTTGGTATTGTTTCAAGATGCTGGCGTTCACAAGGAGGGGAGAAGGACCTTTAAGTTCTTGTGCTTTTATTCTCACTGAAGAAGCAGGTAGGATTAAAGCTATGTCAAGCTATTTCCCCAACCCTTTAGCAATTTCGTCTTATTTGCTTGCAACATTAATTTAGGGTAGATTTGTTATTAGCATAGTATTATGTTAGCATAGCAGTCGCATTTACACGCTGGAATTTTTATTGTTTTTGAGCTTAAAAACAGCAACAACAAAAACATCCAACGGGAAAATAATCGAGCTATGCGGATATGCTGAAAATGAATCCACCCCAAAGTTTTAACGGCTAGTCTCGAAAGAAAAGGTGGTAAAAATCGAAAGCGAATCATGTCAGCTTATCTAAAATAAACAAGAAAAGTGCTAAACAGTTACCATGTTTTCTAAACAGCTAGAATCACTTTGGTCTCAGAAAAATGCTGGACAATAATAATAATAACACAATAATACCGAACAAACTTGCTGTCATTCAGTCATACTTTTTTAAATTGAATCTTTATTAATAACTCCACAAACAGTACAATGCAATTATTATTCATTCAAAATATTTCCCCAGTTCTGATTGGCTAAAAGCACACGCATAATTCACCATAACCACTTACTGATGACCAAATTTGGAAGCAATTTGTGTTTAACGAGAAAATGACGTAAAAAATGCAGCCTTCTACAGGTTAATGCGCCGTTAACCGAGAAGACCTGGGGACGAGGTTGAGTTGTTTTCGTTGTGAAAACTAAAATGGCGGACACTTCACTCGTTTCAAGAGTAAGAACTTCAGCTGGAACTAGGCGAAATAATGGATATAAAAAAAAACATAGCAAAAACAGCAAGAAGACAAGTCGGAGGGCGACATCTGCTATTTGGAGAATATTTGCGGAGCTGGACCAACCTAAACGTACACTATCGAAGATAAACTTAACATCGATGCAGGTAAGCATGTTTTAGCTATGTTTTCAAACTAGGAATTATTTTGAATGAATAACAAAGTAATTAACGAATTCGGCTTTCGTAGGATATGAAGAATTAAGCAGATCTGCTTACTTTTTCATATCCTATTCAGCCTCATTCATTAATTGATAATACCGGTCGATCGGTTGATACAGGCCTGATGAGCCTGAAAACTATGCTAAAAGAACACGATGAAGAGAACCAGTCCTAAATTTTTTGATAAAGCAACTTTTAAATATAAGGAAAGACGATAAAGGTGAATCGATTGGACCTTGCGGCCAAGTGACTGTATAAGTAGTATGGAAGGGAAGTTTTATTCCACTTTATTCCACTTTTTGTAAATTTCTAACTTACCCTCTCCCCTTCCTGTGCCTTCACAATAATTCAATAATTTCTCTCTTCCTCCTCTTCCTCAATTTTGTTGTCTTTTCCTCACCAGCATCTCACATGTTTATTGTTTTCCTTTACCTCCTCTATCACGAAGTTTCCACGGTTTCCCTTGTCCACCATCCATTTTGTATTGTTTTTCTCCAACACCATATCTTCACTGTTTTTCTTTCTCCTCATTCTCTCTTTAGATGGGTTCTATTACTGCTTATGCAGCTTCGCTTTTCACTATTGATGTCGTTACTAGTTCTTTTTTTAACATAATAGATTGTGTTGCATTCTAACCTAAGATCAGGCTCTATTTTCGTTTCGCTTTGAAAATGACCTTCCGGCAGGCTAAAATTGGGCCTGATCTCAGGTTAATTGCATTCAGAGGTTGTTAACAGGTTGTTGTTGGGGTAGAGATTGTATATTGCGATGCAATATAACCAAAAAACCTATTTGTCGTGGAGGAGGGAAAAACAACAGAAATGTGGCACTGGTGAAAATGAACGAATACAGTAAAGATATGATGGTGGTGGAAGTGAAGGAATACCATAGAAATGTTGTGGAGCTGGAAGTGAGTGAATGCAACAGAAATGTGATAGTAGCGGAGCTCCACGCGCGCGCGAAGCGCGCTCGTGGGCGGAGCCCCATAGCTAAGGGAATCTACCCATCCAAGAAAATTTGGTAATCGCGTGACCGTACACCTAACGAACGAACGATTGACCGTCCGTCCGCACCACAGGGCAACCAATGTTTACTCTCACACTTTCTAGCGAGTTTGGGAGCCCAGGAAAAAAACTTATTGCACATCAATGTTGTGATCAATTGACAGCTGTCAAAACAGGGTATCCGCTGACCAGTATCACCTGACCGTACCGCGGGCTCAAGTGTCGACCCATCGAGGTCAAGTCTTTTTTTGCAGTTATCCGTTGACAAATTACCAGCTTCAAATGATCGCTGGCTTAAGTTTATTTTTTCCAGTGATTCATATGAAATTTGTTGTGTTTATGTTATTAAGGCCCCGCACTATTAAGATTTTGATTTCAAACTGACGTCGGACGCGAAAATTCAGCCAGGTTTTTTAAAAATACAGGCGGAGAAGACCTTTTCTTACCATGGTCACGCGTTGGTCACGCTCTACGTCCAATTTTTATGCTCTGATTGGTCAAAATTTGACAGGTGAGTTCATGCGGAAAATTTATGCAGCATCTTGAAAGTTGTTTACTTTGACAGCTGAAGCTGACAGAGTTTTGTGTCAACTTGTGATGTTTTTAACTGCCTTTTTAGACCGGATGTACAAAATGAAATACAGCTTCTATCAAGAGTCTTCTGTTATTCATGGCTGGTTTGTTTATTGGGTTTTTGGTTGAGAAATGCGTCGCTTGTCAAAATTCGGTAATCCTATTTCGGATGGCATCGTTTTTGTTTTTTCTCTTGCTTAATGCGTAAGAGGGTTTAAAAGTCTCAACCAACTGTGGCCTTCCTTGATAGCTTTCAGGAACTGAATCTCGAATGGTAAGCCTGAGTAATTATTGTATTTGATGTTTGTTTTTGTCATAATAGTAGAGCAGATATGTGCTTGAATTGTTCACTTTCTGTTAAAAGCATGAAATTTGGCATGATGATAGTTTTCAAGGCCCTAAAAAAGATAGGATATGGTGCCATCGCCAAAAAGTCCGTTAAGTGCGAAAAATAAGATTTTTTAAAATGGCGGCCATTTTGAACCGGAAGTGAAATTAACATTTTCTTTAAAACGTCTGAATTTTAGCAACTTGGATAAGAAAATGTCAGCAAATGCCTAAGGCAGCTTTTTTTTCATACAGAGAGATATTATTTCAACGCAGTGTCTAAAAAAAAATAGAATAGAGAAGATATAAGTGATCGCCAGCTAGACCGGAAGTAAAACTACCAGAGTCCGAACTTTTAAGGAATGAGATTAAACTTCTGTTGTGCCTGCAGTGCTGGCTTTCTTTAATTGAATATTTTCTTTAAATCTGATGTATACACTCAATTTGCTATTTTCATTGTGTATAATCCATTATTAAACTTGAGCCTACTTTTGCTATGATACAGAACTTGAAGAATAACAGGTGATATCTCGGTGACCTAATGACTTACTGCGCTTTTCACAAACATGCATACTCTAAAGTTCAACAGCCGCCTTCACAATTGCGTTTTTCGCTGCCGTCAATCATAATTACGATCACAAGCAACGAACCTTGAAACACAGAAACACACAAAACAGATCGAAATCCACCAGTCACAAATCACAAACCTTGACCTTTTGAACCCGTTAAAGTAAAGTTTTGTTTCCTAGGAGGTCCGTTAAGATGATTGAAGGCAGCGAAAAACGCAATCGTCAATTGGCTTTTGAACTTCAGAATTCGCATGTTTGTGAAAAGCGCAGTAATACTTCATGCAGACGAGTGCTTGTAATCGAAAAAAAGAGTTTAAGACTGCCTTTCATGATTGTCACTCTTCTGGGTACAACCCTTCTTACGAGCGTACTTGACTAGTTCCACGCTCAACTTTGTAATTTCTGACAGTGGAGTGCAGGAGAGTCGCCACTCTCCTGTTAGAGATATCTAGCCCCAACTCCTTGCGGACTAGGAACCGAGATGCTTGGTACCAGTGCCTGCTGACTCTATATGTGGCCGGCATGGTTTGCCATGCCCTTGAAATGTTTAAGTAATATGGGCCAGGACAAAGAAACTACTTTTGGCTTCGTCAGTTGACCTTAAAGAACTACTTTTTTATCGTATAGAAGAACGTGTAAGCGAAAACCACTCCGATTATTTCTGGACTGAGGTGACCAGAAGTATTCAGCGTGTCACATCCTGTGAATTCATGGAATGGAGGACGTGCAATCTCATAGGCTGCAAGGTAGCGTAGATGTACCTCAGCAACAAGATATATGATAAGGAAGCTAACTTGGCTTCATGGTATAGAAGTTTCATGGGTAGTTAGAAAGGAGAGTGGACTTAACGAAAATGTCTTTGGAGAGTCTTAACTTATATTTTTATATATTATACCTTAAAAGAACGGAATCTGCTTTGTGATATAGCATGACGAAAAATGTTTTCTAGCGAATTGACTTCAAACGATGCAGGGGAAAGACTGGACATCTGTCCCTAGACGACATGCGTTGCTCACTGTGCAATGAATCTAAAAAGCACCTGCTTATTTCGATCTTTACATAAGAACTAACTTTTTCCAGTTTCTTAGTATAGCTCCCGATACACGTTTTCCCCAGATCTTAGTCTTCTAGCTGTTCTCGGTGCGACATATTTGTCCCATACTATATCCAAGAGAATACGTTTTACATGCTCAGGGAATTAACGTAAGTGATGTATATTCGGACAACGCTTTTTCCTTATTTTCTTGCATGTGGACTTTAACATGATAATCAGTGCTACTCAGTCCATGATAACGAAATGACATTCTGGGGGGTGATAACAGTGAAGATAAGAGGCTAACTCTCATTTCTGTCGAGAGAGGCGCAGAGTCATTTGATAGTGAAATACAGATGAGTGAAACCGCTGCCCGGTTAGCTCCAGGCCCTGGTCCTTCAAACGTTGGATAGCGCTATCCACCGGATAAATCACTGTCCAGCGGATACGTATTAGGGAAACCAATTGCGTTATCCACTGGACAGACTTTTATCCAGTGGATAGCGCTATCCAATGTTTAAACAACCGGGCCAGGTGGGTAAGCACCGGTCCACTAAGCCAGAAGCCGGGGTTTCAAACCCCGGTCGGATAAACTCTGGATCAGGATCTTTATGTAACTGACGAGAAGTGCTGCCTTTTTACGGTCATCTGCAAACGTTAGACTTTCTAGTCTTCTTGGGAAAAAAAAAAAAAAACCGTAAGCCCCGTCTCACAGTTCGTGTTCTTTATCTTGAAATGCTGTGGAAAGTTAAAGAACCCAGCCCACTGTTTGTAAAGAGTAGGCTGAGTAGGGTACCCGTTACCTTCCAAAACGGATTTCCCGGAAACTTTTTGAAAATGGTAAACTTTGAAATGAGCAGATGTTATCGTGAAAGCAATTTCAATCCAAGATGTACATGCACAGAGTGTTATTTATACTCCTCAATAACACAAAATGGTGGAGCTATTATACCTCGAATTACTTTGAAAGCCGCAAAGCATTTTGCATTCTAGTTAATAGTGGATCAACTCTTTTAACCTTTAAGCCCCAATATTCACATACAAATTCTTCAAACTGGTCTCTGAGAGAATTTTATAAAAGATCAAAGCATTTTCTCTTAGGTGATTTTTATTAATTTCTAAAAACCTAATCTCTTGACATTGTATGGATATGGTCAGGAGAAAATTGATGTTGGTCACTGTTAGCCGGACTTAAAGGGTCAAAACAAGTAAAAAGAAATAATCTATTTTTGCTAGTTTAATTTGTTCGTATGTTTGGCCTTTCCTTTGCTTAAAGATGTGAATCATTGTTTCACTTTTATTTTTGAAATTCACTACTTAAACTTGATGAATTGCCATTTTATCTCGCTTTTACTTCCGGTTTTATCATTTAAACCGCTCATTTGTAACACGGTTGACTTTTTTATACGACATAAATATCCGGAAAAACATAGAACAAACAATTTTGTCTTCATTTTGACCTTAACGGTCTTAACATGCTAAATTTAGTGTACTTTCGGTTAGGTGATATTTACTTCCGGTCAAAATGGCGGCCATTTTAGTAATAACTCCAAAAACCGGTTTAAGAGGAAAAATTTGCAGTGGCACCATATCACATATTAATAGCCCAATTAGCTTATATAATAAACAATTTCATCGTCATTTTGGCTTAAAAAAATGCTTCATTTTGTGTACTTTAGAATAGATGATATTTACTTCCGGTCAAAATGGCGGCCAGTTTAATTTTCACTCTAAAAACCAGTTTTACAGGAAAAATTTACGATGGCACCATATCACATATTAATAGTCATAATTAGTTCTGTCATTCCTGAAAATTTGGTGCTTTTAACAAAAAGTGAACAATCCGGCCCCAAATCTGCACATATCCGCCCCACTATATCTAATTTCATGAAGTCGAGCACAGTTTATGCGGCAAGTTTATGCACGTTTGTAAGATTTGAGTCAATGATCTGACACAGTGTCAGGTTTGATATAAGCTTACAGGACTTTAAAAGGCCTTCACAATATCTTTTCTCACCGCAAAGAGAAAGAAAACGATCTGAAGAATATTTAGTTATAAATTTGGCTATAGAAAGAAAACTTTGAGCGATTTTCTTGCTTCGAGGAGTTCACCTTCGAAAACGGTAAACACCGCACCGGGAAGCCGCGGCTTAAGCTTTACGCTTAAAGACTCAGGATTTTTAGAGACACTTTAATACTTGTCTTCGTGAATGAAAATTGTTGCCTCTGTTAATGTTTCACCGAATTATATTTCTTTTATTGATTGTTAGTAGTCTCTCTTGCAATTTTAATCGCTTGTACGTGCCGGTTGTTTTCATCGTTCATGAACATCGCTTGCAGGAGTACTCAAAAATGTCGCGCGTATCAAACGCTTTATAAGATTACACATCGTTATAACTGAAACCATTAAATAACAAAAAAAATAATAATAAATTCGTTATTATGTTGAAGGGTAACTCTATTAAAGTTCATTCAAACACTCGACCACACTGACAGCTCGCACTAGAAATGAGAACCGGCTGGCCGTATGGGTGATTTTGGAATTTTTTTGAACGGTTTCGCTAAAAGCCCACGATTGATCGTCCTGAATATTGACTAAGTGTAATTTGTCTTGAAAAATTGTGAAATGCCGCATTCTGTCCGAGGTTCGTATGAAAAATAGAATTGTTTCACCTCAGATGTGATGTATATTAAAAGAGTATGAAAGGTTGGTTTACACACCCCTAGATTTGTTGGCAAGAATTTGTAAAGTAAACCTGTCGAACGCAAAAAAAATGCGGCTTGATTTGTTTTCCAAGAATTTGTTTTTGAGGCCTAATCTACTGTGATCAAGAGCCATTATGGCTCTTGAATGTGATCGAACATGTTTGCTATTTTTTGGGTGTACATATAAGGCTATCAACTCGATGTAAGATGTTTCACTCTAAAATAACTTCGCCTGTTCCTCAAAAGTCACATGAATGTGCCCTTAAGTTAACCGATTTGTGGATTACAAGTTTATTGCTTGATTTAAATTATAAATTTATTAATGGGAGCTTCGCTTTTAGCCCTGGCTAAATCTATATATTAGAGGTTGTGGAAAGACAGGAAGTTGACGAGAATGAGGAGAAGGGAAGTAATTTAATTGTGGGATAATAATGTTTACTGCTAAGAGAAAGCTAGTTTCCCATTGCTCTCATGAATAAGTCTAATTTGCGGGCTACCAGTCAGTGAGCCGGAACCTTAGACAATACTTGCGACAGGAAATAAACCGCGCGTAACCATGGTTTGTTTTAGTTTATTTTTGTCAAAGGAAATAAAAAAACAATCAGTGCCTCTCTAAATTTAATCAATGAATCTAAAGCAATGGATGATCTTAATTTAAACTAATATATATATTAGCCACAGCTAAAAGCGAAGCTCCCATTGATAAATTTATAACTTAAATCAAACAATAATTTTGTATTCCACAAATCAGTTAACTTAAGGGCACATTCATGTGACTTTTGAGGGAAAAGTGGTTTTAGAGTAAAACAAATTTTGTATCAAGTTGATATAGCCTTATATGTACACCCAAAAAATAATCTTCGGTCACATTTAAGAGCAATGATGGCTCTTGATCACAGTAGATAAGGCGTGGAAAACAAATTCTTGGAAAAACAAATCAGACCGAATTTTTTGCGTTCGACAAGTTTACAAATTCTTGCCAATAAATCTGGGTGCGTGCAAACCAATCTTTTATTTTTTTATACACCACATCTGAAGAGAAAGAGTACTATGAGGCGCTGGTTTTATCATACAGACCTCGTACAAAATGCAGTATTTCACAATTTTTCAACACAAATTGCATTCGTTCAATATTCAGGACCATCGAAGTACGCGTGGACTTTTAATTAGCGAAACCGTTCAAAAAATTTCCAAAATCACCCATACGGCCAGCCGGTTCTAACTTTTGACAAGCGCCAAATCTGCGAAGAAATTTTCTGGGATCGGTAGATTTCCTTAGCTATGGGGCTCCGCTAAAAACCCGTCAAACTAGTTAAACTAGGCACAACATTAAAATAGAACATCCTATGTTCTGTTATCACCCTATGTTAATAAGATGTCTATTTATGACTTTATCTGCGTTAGAACCTTAAAGACATGGGATTCCAACTAAACAGTAACTAAAAGTGCGGAGTAAAACATTTCTACCTTACTTCTCGGGTAATTGCTGAATAAAGTAGTGATTCTTATACTGTCACCTGTTAGCACTTTCTTAACATTAATCCCACATTTCCCCTTCACCTAGTAGTGATAACGCCGCCATCATGTCATTTTCACTTTACACGAGCGAATTGTAAGTCGAAGAAGGTGCTTTTAATGACGGCTTCTTTAAGACGACGGACGTCTTATCCCGTGCGACAAGATATGTTTTATATAACAGAAAAAAGCATGCTAAATCTTTCCAGACCCTAATGGCAACCACCAAAATTTGACGACCGGAATATTTTCGTACAAAAGCGGTTAACAAAACAACGCTGACGAACGTTGTTTTTCAGTACCCAGCCTGCCTCCAATGAATGTGTCTACCGCACCATTAAATGCTACTTTCTTTTCCGTAACTTGGGAACCTGTACCTCCTGGTCACAACCATGGAATAATTCTTGGATATAAAGTATTACTCGAAAATATGGAAGATACGTCGTTGGTATTGACTGCTATTGTGAATGTTAACCAGACTTGGATAATGTTAAAGGAATCTAGTAAATCAGCGTCAATACTTTGCGCAAGAGTTGTAGCATTCACAAGCAAAGGAGATGGACAATCAAGCACTTGCAATGAGGTGTGGACTTGGTCCGAAGGTAAACTATTCTATGGGTCATACAGGCGAGTGAGATCGGTCGAGCAGCCGAGTATCTTAATAATACACCATTTTCAAGCATTTTACACACCTAAAATTGGCCTGTTCTCCAATGGGCCACCTACAGTGTTTAGTGTGGTATCTGTTAAAGTCGTGATTTAAATTCTGGTTAAGGCTGACTTCTCCATGTTTTCTTGTTACCTACTCATACTTTTTGTTTAGTCACCGCAAGGATCTTCATTATTATTCTAAAAGTGTCCACCAAGGTTGTTAAAAATTAAGATGGTAAGCCTCCACTGTCCTCTTTAGCCAGCAGCAGGTTGTAGGTAAATGGCATCGGTTTCCTGTCTATCGCTTTAAGTGACCTTAAACTAGATGTTTTGTGTTCGTCCGCCCTTGAGTGAACCTTGAGATAGGATCAATGCCTGGATAATTATTAAATAAAAACAAGAGCCATTATGATCTCTTGATAAAAAACAACTTGGCAAACCTATTGGCCTTGGACAAGGTGCATTCAAAGTACTCCCAGATGCCAACTAATGAAAAGACAAAATCGAAAATTGTTATCAACAGCGAGGAAAAACAAAACCGTAAAAAGTTATTCCAAAATTTTCGACCGTAATTGTCCGTCTTGTTCACGAGATCACCTTGTCCTCTACGGACAAGGCCAAGATCACAACGTGACCTTGACCTTAGAAACTAGGGTCAAGGTTAAAACGAGGCTGTATGCCGTCATTGGTGCTCCAGATGATCCCATAATCACAGATGCCGACGAAAATTTGGGAATATCTTTTTTTCTGCTTTCCCCTCGCTGTTGATAAGAAGAATCTTTGATATTATATTGTCCTTACGCCGTGAATAAATGTGTTTTATGTTCGTCATCCGAAATTTTTGAAACGAAATATACTTAGTTTCCGGTTTTAATAGAAACCATGTTCCCGAAAATGACAGCAGTGAGTCACTACAGTCCAACTGGCATCAGAGTGAAGTGGAATAAACTACGTACCTTGGTACTTCGCCAATTAACACATTATAACGTGACGTATGAAGAAGTTGGTGAGGCAGGTCATCCAGTATTGAACTCTTCGAGTACAACTGTGAATGTAAGGGCGGATTCAAGGAAACTGACACTTAGTGGACTCAAGACATACACAACGTATAAAATAAGAGTGGAACCTGTCACCTTTGATGCCAAGATGCATAACAACAGAATCATGTTTGCAGGTATGATAAGTTAACATCGGATCCAAATTTATCTCCACAACGAATTTCTGTCTTAGTAATGATTACCTTGTTTTTAAGGCAGTGTAGTCGGGTTGGTTTAAACCTGTGCAAGGAAAAAAACACTTGACACTCTCGTAATATTTCAAGTTACATTTTGTGCCACGATACAGTTTCAAGTTGAGCAACGAACCAATTTGCTCTGTCAAATAAACTAACACATCGAAAAAGTCACGTCATCGACTTTGAAATAACTAAAAACCTGTCTAACCGGTTATATCAAGCACAAAATAGAAATAGAACGTGACATCACCCATCTTAGGGACTCTTCACGTGAGTCCGGTTGACTGGGCTGGCCCAGTTTCCGAGATCTCGCCTTACCTCAAAATACTTCGAAAAATTTTAGATGTGTTCATAAGAGAGGGCGGGCTGGCTCGGTTCCCGAGATCTCGGTTTTTTCCAACCGGGAAAAATGTTGAAAAGTTGATGTGGGAACGCTTACAGCACATCTGAGCGTAACTATCAAACGTTAACAAGATCTAAGCTAAAAGTAGTTTTCGGGCCCTTTTGGAGGGCAAGAGTATGCCCTCTATAAAAATGGCGGCCAATGTAAACCATACTACTTTGTTGAAAAACCAAAGTGCCATAAAATATCTCCCTTAAATGCGTTTCCTCTCAAATTTTGGATTTAAGACAATTTTTGTGTGCTCTGTCAATTTTTGGCATCAGCAAGATTCTAACTCATTGTTTAAAGGAAGCATTGGTCACGTGACCTCTTAGTGGAAGTGGCCTATTCTGGCGTTCCGGATGTTGTCGTCTTGCATTGCCTGCTGTGTTTTTCACGTCATAAGCATCCCATTTAACTGCAGCGGTACAGCTTTAAGGGTTGCCAAAGCTATGGTAGTCTCAAAAGTTATAATTTTTGCGTTTCGCCATGTTTGCTTTGTTTCTCGTATTTCGGATCATGACCTTAGCCTTTTCTTATCTCGGACCGGGCAGGAATTTCTCATATGAACACAAGGCGAAATTCGTCCCGTTAACCGGGCTCATGTGAAGATGAAATGTTATTCATTGGTGTTAAGGTATTCCTGTGCAGAAAAGAGGTTAATTACTTTTACTGGGGTTTCCTATACACATAGGTACGCACGAATGGTTAAAGAAAAAAACTTGTTGAAAACTGAAACGTCATGGGGTTAAGGTAGAAGTGCTGTACGAAAGACTGCATAATGCAGATGTCCAAGTCAAACGATGAAACATTCTAAAAGTTTTGAACCTAGTAGACATTTCATAAGTAGGTGGTGAATGACCGACCGGGTGAGAGTAGTCCTGAATGGGACTTTGTAAAGAAGAGAGTCCTATGTGGGACTACGATCGACCGGTCGATTATTCGCCACCTACTTATGCGATGAAACATTGATACAAAACTAAAAGCAACTATTATTAAAAGCTACTGAGCGATTGTATCATTACTTTTGTGCTTTATTGAACGAAAGCGAAGAGTAGGCAATTTTTCGTTCCATTTTTTTCAGAAACATGCCGCTGTCCACAAGTTATGTTCGCCAACTGGTACCCCAAACCCCCTTACATTATCAAAGAAAACTCAACTGCCAAACCACGCGGTATTATCCCAGAAATTCTAGTGCATATGCTGCAAGTCTCATGCGGCCAGTGCCTCGCCTATCAGACTTGGAACATAAGCTACATTTTCAACAAAACAGAGAACATTTTGGACCGAGATAACCTAGCATGGGTGGATTTCCGCTTTCCAGTCAGATCAGCTGTTGGGAGAACTACATACAGGGGTATTCACAAGTACATTCCTCTTTTGACCATTCCTGGTGTGGCGTTGATGACAAGAAAAAAGACACCGTCTGTATATGCTCGTGACTTAAGCAATTCTGTGCTGGCTTGTTGGCCTATTTTCGCAGTTAGTTTTTCTATGGCGATATTAACTGGCATCCTTATTTGGTTTGTGGTGAGTCACTTAATTAAGAATAGTCAGTGTCGTTTCATCAAATTAAATAAGTACAAGTCATGTTAAATTTTCCGAGGGAGTGTCGTTTGTAAATTAACACAGTGTAAACTGCTAATGGCTAGACTGAGTGAGAAAGAAAGAGGAACGGAATTGTAAACGGAACTTGTCCCATGAAATAAACAGGATTTTTAAGCCTAGCCGCTTTATAAATCTCCAGGTTGCTATTAGGCAAAAACGGCACGTAAGTCTCCAGCTTCGTTTGGATTTCCACTAAGAATGAATGGAATGCATAGAACGTAATCTGATCATAGTTGTTTGGGCCTTCTTCAGGAGGCTCCTGCCTTCTATCATTTGCAGTCTGTTGACGTGTCTTTTGACCAGCCATTACGTGAAACACGTAAATTGGACCGCGTTGGACCAGTAGCGTGTACTCCGTAATCTTTGGCTATTACTATCTTTTAAATAAGATTTCACAAGACAAGAGGCACAACCGTTTTAACCGCCTTTTTTCTGCCCAACGATATAAGTACCTGCCCTCCTAAATAGTTTTTAGCTGGGCACAGCAACAGCGTGACGTTTGGTACAAGGCCTTTTACGGACCTAACGCAACTGCAGGGCTGGGAATTGATTTTACTACTTAACATCCCAACATGTAAGTCTTTTACCTCGCTGGGTGATCGATCTTTTCATATTGCTGCCCCAATACTGTGGAACGATCTTCCCCTTTTTATTAGAAATACATCTTCAGTAAAGGGTTTTAAAAAGACACTAATTTACAAACACATTTATTTCAGCGTTCCTAGCTAATTTATTCTTACTATTATTACTTTTATAAATTATCAACTTGGATTTGTAACTAGGATTTTAAGGAATAATTAGTCATTGCCTAGAATTTTGGAATTATTATTTTTATAAATTATTAAGTAGGATTTGTAAATAGGATTTTAGTTATTATTTAGTCATTGTTTTTAGAATTTTTAGAAGTTTGTTAATTATTATTATCATTCATTCAAAATATTTTCCCGATTCTGACTGGCTAAAAAGCACACGCATAATTCACCATAACCAGCTACTGATGACCAAATTTGGAAGAATTTTGCGATTAATGAACCGATGACGTCAAAAGTGCAGCTTCCTTGCAGGTTAATGCACCGTTAACCGAGAAGACCTGGGGACGAGGTTGAGTTGTTTTGGTTGTGAAAACAAAAATGGCGGACATTTCACCCGTTTCAAGAGTAAGAACTAGGCGAAATAATAGCTAAAAACATGGCAAGAACAGCAAGAAGTCAACTCGAAGGGCTATATCTGCTATTTGGAGAATATTTGCGGAGCTGAACAACCCTAAACGTGCACTATCGAAGATGAACTTAAAATCGATGGAGATGAGCATGTTTTAGCCATGTTTTTAAACTAGGAATTATTTTGAATGAATGATAAAACAATTATTGAATTCGGCTTTCGTATCATATGAAGAATTATGGAGATCTCGGAGGGTGTTATCCGTCGAGGCCGTAGGCCGAGGCGGATAACACCCTTCTCGATCTCCATAATTCTTCATAAGATACTCAGCCTCATTCATTAATTGTTAATTATTTATTAATGTAGATTTACTTTTTTATATAGAACTTTTAAGTAGGATTTATGTAATGCGCAAATGAAAATTATTCTATAGATTGATATTTGCGCGATACAAATTAATAAATAACAATAATAAAAATAATTTTTAGATACATGGCGCTTATATTGGATATTGATATTATCATAATTTCTTAATCATTGTTTAATGTCATTACTACCTCTCTCTGTTTTATAGGAATATAATTCTAATTCTCAGCATTTCTTCAACCATTTCCATCAAGGCATCGTGGAAGGAATATGGTGGTCCCTTGTTACCATGACAACTGTGGGGTAAACAATATTAATTAGAACCAGTGAATATAAAACAATAGTTTGCATCCAAACTAATGACCATCCGTTCTCGCAACAAATTAATATGAAAAGCAAATTGAAATGTAATGTGACGAGTGCTTGAGACAAATTAATCTTGACTGTTATGAAGTGAAAGTTGCATTTGTTCTGGCAAAAGCAAAGAAGATTTTAATGGGCAAGATAAAGTGATATGATACGAAATTCAATCATTTTTGCTTGTAAGAAGAACTATAATTCCAAGAGTGGCAACCAAAACACGTTATTATTATTCTAAATGGCAGCGTGCTGAAAATTTGAAAGCTTGATAAACTAGCCGATAACTATCTGACGGTTGATCCGATTTATAATTCTTTTCAAAAAAAGTAATCTTAAAAAAATAATTGTTAACTCTTAACCTCTTTCTGACATGCTACTACATACATAAAAATAACCTTTCTTCTCAAAAATTTTATTCGTTAATTAAATTTTAGACACGTCATGTAATTACTCGGCCTTACTTTTATCTTAAATGAACTTTCCCTTCAAGATGATACTATTGTTCTTCTATCTTCAGGTACGGGGACAGATACCCAAAGACCATTCTCGGGCGTTCAATTGCTATTGTTTGGTTCCTGGCCGGAATCGTTCTGTCTTCTCTTTTAGTTAGCTCTCTGACTTCCTCCATGTCCGTAAGGATTCTCGATAAACATTTAAGCGTGGCCACTCAAGGCAGAAAGGTCATTTATTTTTATTTAATTTACATTATATTTCTTTGGTGAACTATCACGTATTTCCGGCTTTCTTTTCTCTCTGCCGAAAGAAACTTCTATCAGAGATCATTAGAGCTTGCAGAAAACGATTTCTGTGACTTATGAATTCTTTATTAACCTACAAATTGTTTGGCTGTTTAAATTACACACAACAAGCTCGCAAAAGGCACCTTTCGGCGTTGAGAAGAGGATTCCATCGCATTTTAAAAAAATAATAAAATGGATTCAACTGCGTTTGTCGCGTAGAAGCCTGTACATGTAGTATATTTTTTTGATATTCTTCACACAGGTTGGGTCACTGGCTCAGTTTCCAGAGTATGAAATTCTTGTCCGATACAAATCGCAAGTAGGAGGTAGTAAGTTTTGTATATCTATTACTATGACTGGTGTAGTTATAATTACTAGTAAATTTCGACCCTGCTCGCCATAGAGCCTCCAGCAGCTCGTTGGTTGGAGTATCCGAGCTAGAACTCGGATGGTCGTGAATTCGATTCTCTCCTGGAGCTCGCTTTCTAGCCTCAGGACTCTCCTTCTTCCAAATTGGTTCAAATGACTCGTCCGCATGAAAACGAGACAAGAAATATTTAAAAGTATTCTGATGCACAATTTCTCTTCTCTAAAAAGACTCAACCTTAGATTAAATCTAACTAAAAACGTCGGAAAGCGGATCGAGCGAACGACACCCGCCTCGCTCGGCGCACTTTCTCAGACTAACCTTGTTGAATTAAAGGTGTAAAACCCGTAATTCCGTAAATATATTTCTCAGGAACCACATGAAAATTAGCCAGCATAACAGGCGCTAGGCGCGGGGAGGCGAAAAAATAAAGCGCCTGTTACCAGTCCATTGTTCTGGCTCTTCCCACGTTCACTACATGAACGTCGCGTTCCAATTGGTTAATTGATGACGCGTTGTTCTGGCTAAATTTTGGCATGTTTGTCTTCAACAAAATGGCCGTCACGCAGTCACTTTCTTTTGACGATGCTCGGTTTGAGATGCTCTTTGTCTATCTCCAAATATTTCAGATATAAAGGAAAAACAAAAGAAATGTTTAATTTATTGTTAAAGCGGAAGGATGTTCTTGGAATGCTTCCAACTGGGTTTGGACAAAGCCTGATTTACCAGCTTTTTAAAATAAAGTGTTGACAGGCCAAACACGACTCATGTGAAACGAGACATTAGCGTTTGTTAGAAGAACAGGTTTTTCCTCTTTTCTTTCTCGCTGCTGTGTTTGGACAATCTAAAATTCGACTGAGCAAATCCTATTTTTGCTTCACTAAGTCTTACATTAAAGGTGTTTCATGCACTAATCGCGTTCCGACGAAGGAGAACGCATACTATTTGAGTCTTTTTGTGCGCCGTACATGAAGTAGTAACCGTTTATATCCAGGCGATTTCACGGTTTGGACGCCATCTTGGACAGGCCTTGCACAATTTGCCTCGATCTCATGATTCCAGTTAATCTGTTATCCATTTTGTGACACTCGTTCGTTCACAGATGAAACGGGCAGGGCTGTCAACCTCCCATGTCTTCAAATATTGAGAATTGACAGGGATGGGATGATAGATGACGTCATAATGCACGGCAGGTGACGTCATTGGTGAAAAAAAAATTAACTTCCCACCAATCACATCATTGCTTATATTACAATGGCATACCGGAGTTTGTGGGGAAACGTTCGATGTTAACCGTAAGATAGCTCAAACAACGCAAAATATTTGAAATTTCATTGTCAGAAAGTCGAATCTACAAGAAATGGCAAACTTCAGCGATTATCCGGGAGATTTCAGACTCTAATCTGGAGACCGGGAGAAACGGTTCAAAATCTGGAGTCTTCCGGATTATCCGGGAGAGTTGACAGCCCTGAACGGGGATTTTCTGTTTACTACAGGTTTGTTTATAGTTTTTCTCGCAGTTTTCAATTAATTCAATCAGTTTTTTTTATATAGGAAAATTTCCATTCTAAGATAATCGGATATGTAGATATTATGTTCACGATGCGTTCTGCACACTGTATTTGTTTTTATGGATTCAAGCAAGATCAGCTTAGATCGACCATATTTAATTCTATTACAAATTACATCTTTTCGCTTTTAAAGCTGTTTACAGCGTTGTATTTGCTTTTGTTTGTCACCATTTTTGAAAAATATACAAAAAGTTGAAAAGTGAAACGTTGACCTTTTCATCTCACTAATTTCGGGTGCGTTGAATGAGGTGAGTCGTGTTAGCCTAGTGTCACGCAACAAGGGTTTAAAGTAATACTCGACGCTTAAACTTTTCAGATAATTTAATTTTTCTGTATCTCAATTTTTAGCCAATTTTATTGACCATCCTAGAGTGCAAAAGAATATCCTGAGGATCATAGTCAGTGTTTGACCTGTTGTTACATACATGTACTTTACTTAGAGGTTTAGCTCAGTAAATATAAAAAGTACAGCGGTGACGTTCTTGCATTTTTGAGGAAAAATGAAATAGTAACAAATTGTAAAGTAGGAGGATAAACAACAACACTGGTAAAGAGAGCTGCTGATATTTATATTGATAAAAGTGTTTGATTTTGATATCTCAATATTACAAGCCCATCAGGGTTTGCACCCCCTTCCCATTAGCACTCACTACCCACCAACCCATCTCCCCTCCCCATCGAACGCACTCCCCTAATTTGCAATCACTACTAGTGAGAAATTATTTGCTGTGGTTTATGCTACTGTAGGTGTTTCTGGTGTCCAGAAGTGACAATTTTCGCGCGAATAAAGGATCGTGTTTTGATTGGTCCTTTTGACATCACCACCCCCAGTCAATGTTTGTGGGCGTAGGTGGGTGGAAGAGCCAGAACAATGGAATGGTAATAGCACCTCCCCTTGCTTGGCTCATAAAGCACCTGTTATGTAGGCTATCTAAAATGTGCAAGGTCTTTTATACACTGGTTATTTAACGTAGTTCAGAACGCGACAATATAAGATGCATTTCCGTCAATCTATTCTTGCGAAACGTTCCACACCTTTACTTATCAGTCTAGAGATTCCTTCGGCTTGGCGTGCAACGATCCACTTAGAATGGAGCAGTCGCTGAATAATGACAATGCACGAACATGTCAACTGAGTGACCCGTAGAGATTGGCACTACAGTGTAGGTTCCTGCGGGCCCGTGCACTTGTGTAAATAAGTAAAGTCAAGAAAATAAAGATTGTTGTTGACTGGGTGACGGGCCAAAACTTTTGAGCAAGAGACTTGCTATAAATGTTTTAAATTCAACTAACAATATTTTCATTCCATAAAGGTAATTCCTTCCCCTCCCTAGAGAGGCTTGTTGATGCGCTCAAACAAGACGAGGTTGATGGTATCTTGGTTGACGTATACACAGCGCATTACAGGAGCGACCTCTTTAATGTGACCTGGATCAAAATCAGTCAAATACTCGCTTATAAATTCACCTGTGGGGTGATAATTAGTGGAAATGCAGCTAAACTGGAGCGAATATTTCGGGAGTATGTCGGCAATAAGAGTACAGTGGTCACTGATATTCTACAAAAGACTAACCAAGAAAATGAAAAGGTAATTGATACGGCATAAAAGACTCTCAGAATCGTCTCAATAACTTGCACCAATTTCACACCATAATCAGTTACTCTTATCACCAAAACGGCTGTCATCAGTCATCTTGACCATCATATCAATATCCTCAGCAGTGACTCCGACTCGTCGTATAGTATATTAATAGTTTATTAACCTTACTTTCTACATGAATTCTTATCATCATCATCATCACCATTGAATGAACTACTGCATTGTATTAGTTGTTGATTCTCTCCTTTGATTCTCTCCTTTGCTCCGACAGGTTTTCCTCCCGGTACAGTGGTTTTCCCCTCTCCCCAAAACTAACATTTCCAAAATTAATTCCAATTCGACAAGGGTTGATAAACTAAGACCCACAATGTGGATGTTCTTTCTCTAAGTCGATGTATATTTTAATTAATTATTTATTCATCATTGGTGACGTCTCCCTAAGTGTCATTAACACTACGTTAATGATCGTTCTCAAGCAGCTCCTATCGTATAAAACGTATGTTTTCTCTCTCGCCGAGGGCCTTTCCTAATATCGAATATCAACTAGTAGTAGTAGCTAAGGTAAAAAGATCTGGCACCTTCCAGTTTTGTAGCCTTGTGCCGTTGTTTACTTCATTCTACTTTAGTTGTTCATTCAATTGCTCTTAGAGTATTGAAATAATGAAAAAGATTATTGATGATGATGATCATGATTATGATGACGATTATACTTTATTCAACATGAAGAAATGCACTACGGTTTTGATATTACAACATACTGATATACTCCCATAGCAATTGCAAGCTAGTTTTCAATTACTTAACGAAGAACTAATCTTTGGATAACCACAGATTGACACAGAGTTAACTTAGTGAAGTTACTAAATGACCTAAAACCTTACAATCAAATTCAACTTGATCTATTTCTATAGGTTTATCACACACAAAGCAGAATACAAAAAGAAAAGGTTCCTCTACTGGATCCAGGGACAGCTCTGTTTAACCTGAGTCTATTTATCTTGTTCTCCCTGCTGTGCGTAGCTGTTATTATTGGAATGTTGTATCAGTTATGGTACAGTGGACGCCAAAAACGGCGTTACGATATACAAGGTACCGCAACTCGTTGACCACTGAAGTTTCAAGCTAGTAATATCTTTATAGGACTAAGATAATCCGAGAAAACCACGCCGAATGATTGAGTAGGCAAATCCAGGGGGTTTGAGAATGGATCCCCCAATGATCTATCATAGTAGGTGGGGCTAAACAGAATGGGTGAGCATCAGCACATTAGGGGGTGAGAGGCATGCTTTCCCGGGAAAAATTGCAAATTCAGCACTACTGAAATGCAGAATAATTTATACCAAAGGCCTTTTTCTAATGTTTTTTTTTTATATTGCATGTTTGCAGCAATAAGAATGAGAGAAAGGAAAGAATATAAGAGGACGAAACAGGAGCTACAATCTACATTGGAAGAGTTTTATCAACGTTTTTATTTAACGTACAAACAAATGCGGTTGAAACATCGCAAGCAGCTAAAATGTTTGAAAAAAACGGAAAAGTCTCTAAATAACCTACCGAACAGGGACTTGGTCTAGTAAGCCTTTCATGAGAAGTGAGGCTATAAATGTCGCCTCCCATTTATAGGAAAGGTCAAATCAAGAGTCTGTTTGACAGTATGTTTGATCACTGATAACGAATTTAGCATTTATCTGAGAATGGTGCTCTATAACGTCTCTCGTCTCTATAGAAGCTTATCAGTCTTGACGATGCTTGTCTCTCAGCGCAAAAGCTAGTTTTATTTCAGTTTTATTCCTTTTAGCATTAAATTATTGCAGAAACAGTATTTTTAATATACACATTCTAAGATCAGTAAATTTCGGCCCGATTTTGCGAATTAAGAAGCTATTCTTTCTTTTTCCGTTCTTTTTTTATATCAGTGATGGTTCAATACAGACGTAATGATCAAGTGAACAGCCCTCATAATGCCATAATAGTTAGAATAAATAATAACAAAAATATCTTTATTTTAGTTTCAATGTATTTAGCTTTAGAGTTAGCTAAAAGGGAACACTTTCCTATGTACTGGCAGTAATCTATTACATGATTTTTAAATTAATGATCTTACCTAAAACCTAAAACTATATACAAATTACACGACTCAGAATTTACACAGGGCACAACAGTTACTAAGCCATCGTCTCGTGGGTTTTGTAAAGAAAAAAGTTTTTTAAAAACTGCACACACATTAGCCTCCTTCCATTTGTGGGGTACAGTGCCACTGTCTATCGTGTCTTGAGAGATAGATGTCGGTTAGTATTGGAGCAATGTCTGCAGCAAAGTTTTGAGAAACCAGGGTGGAATCTGGTCGGGGCCACAGGCCTTGTTAGGGTTTAATGAAGATAGCTGTGTATATAGTGTAGTAAAGTGTAGGATGATGCAGTATTGGAGCTAAGCATTGGAGACAATGTATATTTGTTATATATAACATATATTCGGTACATTGTAATTCCACATACATTACGGTCCTACCTACAATAGATATCGTAACACGGTACTGGACGGCAGCATGATGAAGAAGGCAACTCGCGCTATCAGCTGTAAATTAAGGTCACAAATAACTTCTCTGCTCCCTGTGTAGGTGCATTTGGGGAATTCTCTTTCTGCGTACCCTGGGGGAATAGACCGCTAAGAATTCAAATCACAGCGTTCTGGGCATGAAAAGGAATAACAAGTTGTCATAAAAGAGGATCATATCAAGAGGCCTGTCAGACAGGATACTTTATTTTATGATGTAGCTTGAGGCCTAAACATCAATAGCTGACAGGTCTACTCATACCTTTATTTAAACAAGGTATTGTATGACATGACTGTTGGCAAGCCGTGGTTGTATTATTTATACAACAGAAGTTAAAACAGTTTTCTCGAGCTTTAATGGTGTCCTGTCTTACAACTTTGAATTTGGGGCAGGATTTTTTTTAATGTGATTTATTTACATGTAGCTTCCTTATCTGTTGTGGCGATTTTCCATTGTTTCGCCGTTGATAAAATGGCCTCAAATCGCTGTGGTTAACTGTTCATCGTCTCCAGACCTTTGTTTCACCTATTCTCTTCATCTTCGGTAGTCTGCGTAGCTGGCGGGATCACTCTACGGAAGCGCCTTTTGGTACCCTGGGAACAGGCACTTTAGGGAGAAAAAGGGCGAATAATAATAGTCCCGGGAATAATGCGAGCGCGAATAAAGCGGGGTATTGAGGACGTGCAGGGGCACTGAGGAACTTTACGCCGTAGCCGCCGGGGGAGGAGGGGTGGACATTGCGCAGCGCAACTGCAGGGCTTTGCCGCGCGATCAGTAGCCTGTTCCAGGCGTTCAGATAGTGGGGAGCGGTGCGAAGTAAAAAGGAGCGCGAAAAAATAAAAGCGAGGGAGGAGGAGAGGTTAGAGTCCCCCTCTACTTTTCGTCGCTTTCTTTACTCTGCACCGCTCTCCACTATCTGAACGCTTGGAACAGGCTACGCGATCAGCTAGGCTGCGAAGGATACCATGGATACACCCTCATTCTCCTCACGGCTTTACAGCCTAAACAAAAACAACAAAAGCAGCCGTGGAATGATAAATCCCGCCAGCTAGTCTACTTCACGTTGCTTGGTTACAGGTATTTTGCTTCAATGTAAACACGACATAACAGCAAATCAAATATGTCATCCCTAATGATATTATTGGGCTTTTACATTTTTTCTCAAAAGAGACGACTACAAACTTGATGTTGTCCATTCACAAACAAACGACTATATTATTCAGTTTTATCACGCAACATAAGGATTGATTTTTCGGTTGTGGATGATGACACTATCTTGGATCGACGGGAAGTTAAAATATGCGACAGTGAATTGAAGCTCTGAGGAGATTTTATATGGTGGCTGTTTCCGAATGTTACCGGGCCATGGATTTTCTCAAACCAGGCTATCCTTCGCAAATTTCTCGAATAATAATACCAGAATATATAAAGTTATGTAAGGCAAAATTTTCACCAGCTTTGCTTCTCACTCTTTGTAAACTCCAAACACTACTCCAACAGCAAACAAGGTTTCATTCTTGAAGCTTTCAGACACGAACTGGTCGCAATTAGTGTCCCAAACAGATCGGCTGGCTATTCTCACACCCTGGCCTTTATTTTGTCCTATCGTGACGGAACAGACAAACTTGAACCGTGAATACCCCAGCAACTTTAAATCACTCATGATGGAGTTACACATTCCTTTGGCCACCTCTCTGCACAGTTTAGCGTCGTATTTTTGTGTTTCAAGAGACTGAAGATGTTGATGAAGAATAGCTCTCACCTCAGCTACGCTGAATCTCTTGTCTGGTTCCATTTTGTATGTGTTTTCAGTGATCAGTGTTGCTCCTCGAGGCCGAGCCGAGGAGTGAACCGAGTTCTGCTCTAAAGAACCAACAGGGCACGAGAAATAGGTCATGAGGAAATTACCCCTTTGTGGCGGAGCTTTCGGTGTTGGGAAAAATAAACTTGAGGCACTTGAGCTGCTCCTGGCGCGAGCTACACGTTCATCCATGTTTGATACAAAAACTTGTACACATCATATACTTGTCCGCCAAGTCCGATGACAACTGAAAAGTGATACGATATCTTTGTATTCTGATATCCGGTATGTAGAATCGCGCGACACACGTGCTCGTCTGCACGGAAACGGATAACTAAAATGTTTGTGCCCATTTTTATCTTCACAGCGCTTTCTTTTGGGATGATCCGGATCAGATGGTGGTAAATCTTCGTCAACATAATTTTCGTTTATAAATCTTGATCCGATTCATTTCTCCCCAAATTAGATAGATCAGGGGTCGTGGAGTCCGGGACGGGGGGAGGGGCACTCAAGGAACATGATTTCTATGAAACAAATAAGATTTTCTAGTCACCTAAGAGCAAAAGTTAGGTGCTAGAACAAAGCCCTGTTGTTGGTACACCCGCTCATCGCCCTTTCAAACCGAACCAAAAATCAATCGAACGCATCGGTTGGATTGTTGTTGCATTGGTTTGGTAATCGAACATAACCGAACTGGAACTTTTCGAATTCGGTGAGTTCGATTACCGAACTCGATCGAACTGAATAATAATAATAATAATAATAATAATAATAACAACAACAACAATAATAATAATAATAATAATAATAATAATAATAATAATAGCAACAACAACAATAATAATAATAATAATAATAATTATTATTATTATTATTATTATCATGATGATGATGATGACGACGACTATGAAGATGATGATGATAACATTTACTTTTATAGCGCCACATTCATTGCTGTCCTATGGCGGTTTACAACAACAATTAATTTTGTAAAAAATAAATTAACAGTAATGCACTGTTTAAACATTTTAAAAAAGCTATGCGTTGAAAATAACAATATTGTTAAAATGAATAAAATTGAATAAATATTGTTAAAGTAATATCGATAAATTCACAGTTAATGCTGGAACTGCTTAGCGACGGTAGCGGGCATAAGACTTGCACTTCAACTTTGACAGTCAACGGCCAACTCACGTACCGTACAGGTACAGGTATCAGTTCACGTTGCAAAGTCCAAGCTGGCGGTCGCCGCCAAAGTCAGCTAAAAATAAACAATAAACTTTTCATCGACACCGACGGCGAAAAAAAGAGCACTCGTGGTATACTCATCTTGCCTGTATACTCTTGTTTGAAATTGAAGACAACGCTTAACCGCAACGCCTTGTTTAAAACGACATGAAACCTGTTTTTTGTAGACATATTAAATTCTGCAAGCAGGAATACTGCAATGCTGATCGTACTACGTGAAAATTAACTCTGCAAGACATCAACATGACACCGAAAGAACTCAAAACAGAGCCATAGACAGCTGTTGATGTCTTGCAGAGTTAATTTTCACGTAGTACGATCAGCATTGCAGTATTCCGCTTGCAGAATTTAATATGTCTACTTTTCATTTTTGCTGATCAGGTCTTTATAGATCCTACGTTTTCCGGCATATTCGTTTGCGGTCCTTTGCAGTCCTTTGTGGTTAATGTTTGTACTTTGTTTTTTGTACAATTGTTGAAGCTTATATTTCCGAACGTTAGTTTGTGTTCGATTGGCAAAAGTTTAGGTAGTAGGCGTCGAAGGAGGTAAGGTAAGGCAGGCTAAAGTTTTGGATGAGTTCGATTACCGAACCCAGTCGAAGTCAATCGAACGATTGGAGTTCGATTGGGTCGGGTTTTTAAGTCTTCTGCTACAAAGACACCCTGTTTACGCTAAATAGTGAAATTATTTACCCTGGTAGACTCGAGACCTTGAAAACCAAACCCTATTAAGTGGCACAAACCCGCTTAGGCCAAATATGGGAGTGCCTAAGGGCCGCGAGGGAAGGTTGACATTGGAAAATCCGGTTAGGATATCTGAGTCTGGGAAAAAGGGAAGGACTCAGGACCAGTGAAAGTGCTCGTAAGCGACCACCTAGGTAATTCATCAAAGCTATAGCATGGACGGTTTCGTCTGGAGTTCCCTTCACCCCTTCACGCTTTCCGGCAAGATCGGGAAATGTTTAAGTCTCCTGTAATCTGTCTCTTCCATTTTCTTGAAATTGTAGGGTTTTACAAGCAGGTAATGTAGGCTCGGGGAGCTCGGGTTTTGCACCTGTAAGTTGCTGCAATCTCGTCTGCAAGAAAGCTTTCTACAACTAGAGCTAGCCCTTCCAAAGAGCGAATCCCAGTGCGAAAGCTACAGTTCGAAACATCAGCTTTTCAATCTTTTCATGGTGGTAAATTCACTATATCATCTCAGCTGATAAAGCTAAATTTTGGGATTTAATTCCTTCACTGACACAGCAACAAAGTTTCTTTTTGAAACTACTACAGAACAATGTACTTTATTCTATAATAAGTGGTGACTGAGAGCTTTTTCTCTGTCCTACTTTCATGACACAACAAAGTGACATCTTTCTCAAGAGACACCATAAATAATTATGTGTTCATTGTCTGACTAATCATTGTTTAGAATTGCAATGTTGGTCAGACATTTGCCTCATGGCAACAAGTAGATTTTCACCTGTGAGCAAGCCCACCATTTCAATAGCAAGGGGAACAAGCCACGCAACTTGTCATGACATTGCCAAAATAGAGAGTTTGCTCCCAGCAGGCTAACAAAGTCTGGATTCAGTGTCCTATGGACATGTGAAACTCTACGAAATCATGAAAATGTTTTCACCAATCTGTGTGAAACCATGTCTCTTGTGAGCTCCGAAGACCTTTCTCTCTCCCAGTGTATGTAGAGATACATAGAAATGGATCAACGTTTATATGTAAATTTAAACAGTGTTCATGGAGCACTTCTCTTCAGCTGGGCATGGATAACTTCTGTTAACCACAATACCTCACTGTGTGCATTATTGGTTAGGTCAGCAATCTTTAACACTCTGATGCTGGGCAGACACTCCGTAATCGTAACACTTGACCTCAGCTGACCAGCAACCATGACATACATTCCTAAAATAAAATTAAAATCAATAATTTAATCAACAATAACAACCATTGTATTTACTACACAAAAGTGTACAAGAACAAAATAAAATATTAACTAAATCAGGCAAAAAGGTACTCAGAATATAAAAACTAAACGACCTGAGTAGTTCAGTAATAAATTACTTAAAATTTCATACTATTGGTTGTAACAGCATAATAATAATAATAATAATAATAATAATAATAATAATACATAAGTCAATAACTTAAGACGGGGAGAAATGTACAAAGACAGTACCAGATAATAGCAAAGTCAAGCAATGTTATCGTGTTTTGAGCTACATTGTAACAAGTTAAGGATAAGTTAACATTACTAGACCAGCACTAAAGAATTTTTTCATCATTAACCACTTCAGTAAAAGCAAAGAACTGCTTTGTAATTCTCAGGGTTTTTGGTAGCATCTGGAAGTACCAGATACAGAAGTTCAGCTGGCAGACTTTTGATTGTTTTTGTACGGCAACCTAAAACCCCAAATGCCAGTCATGCCACTCCCCTGGCCCATTTTTGGCACGAAACGCAAATGGAAACCTCAAGCAAGACAAGTCGACCTCTCATGACTTCCTCGCTTGCTGCTTGGCTGCTTTGCCGCCTAAAATGCTTGCTCCGCTCACTAAGAATTCATGAGGTCGTCTTGTAGCAAGTCAACTGCTAGCTCAGAGGGACAAAGTTAGAAACCCCGGCAAACCTAAATTTTTAAAGCATTCTTTTCACAACTGCCTCAGTTGCATCTTTAACTTCAATGATCTTCTTTGCATTGTTTTATTTTAACTGAGTGTGTACCATTAGATAGGATGCCAATACCTCCTGGAATTTTCTTAAACCACTTCAAGAGTGTGTTTTTTCCAGTTAAATCAATAATAAGATGATTTTGCAAAAAGTATCATATTTGGCAATTCTTTAGGAAATTTAAGTCTGATTGACTCGGACATCATTATTTTACTTTCTCCACTCCAAGCAACTCATTACTGTGAAAACAGTTTGTCATTGAGGAAAATATTGTAATATCAAACACAAGCTAGCTTGCCCAGTTTGCGTACAAGAAATTAAAAATAACACGAACTATTAAAAGTGTATTGTAAGTACAAAGTGCTGTAATCACCTTTCTGGATGAAGAGATCTTTCACAATTCTAGTAACTCCATTAGCTTGGATTATACCCGTCCCATCATCAAGAAACAGATCATTTCCATCTGCAGACACTAGCACTACAATACCCTGTAGCCAGACTTGATTGCTGGAATCTGAATGGATGCTGTCATTGTGCAATTGACTGGCAAAGACCTTCCTGGCAGGAGTGTTTAGAATGACTTGCTGTTTCTGTGACATGGGTACTGCCGCAAGATCAAGAATAATTCCTCATTAGAAATTTCTGGTCAAAGTGCAAAACTTTTACATTGAGATCTAGGTCACTGATACATAATAACAATAATAATAAAAATAATCATAACTATAACAAAATTGTCAAATGTGATTGGCTCTCAACTGCCCTGATTTCAGCCTTAATTGGACAGTTTAATAGGACAGTACACGTCATGCCTAAGTAATTGGACAGTACGCACCATCACGCGCGCTTAAATGACTTTTTTCTTCACTGCTAGCAAAACAAAAATTTCGCATTTCTTGTGTTTTAGTTTAACAAATTTTGTTAAAGTTATGATTAATTGGTAACAGAACTTTGTGTCGTCCAATTCAGTCTGTCATTATACTCATGATTAAACAAATCGGACTCCCGCTATGCGGTCGTCCGATTTTGTTAATCACTCATATGATTACAGACCGAATTGGACTCCACTCAGTCCTGTTACCATTTCTAATAATAATAATAATAATAATAATATTCCTAATAATATAATAATAAGTAATGGTAACAGGACTGAGTGGAGTCCAATTCGGTTTGTAATCATACGAGTGATTAACAAAATTGGACGACCGCATAGTGGGAGTCTGATTTGTTTAATCACGAGTATGATTAGTAATGGTAACAGGACTGAGTGGAGTCCTATTCGGTCTGTAATCATAGGAGTGATTAACAAAATTGGACGACTGCGTAGCGGGAGTCCGACTTGTTTAATCACGAGTATGATTACGAACCGAATTGGACGACACAAGGTCCTGTTACCAATTAATCATAACTTTAACAAAATTTGTGAAATATAAAGCTCTTTTTAAAATCAAAACACAAGAAATTCCAAGATTTTTGCTAGCAGTGAAAAAAAAAAGCCATTTAAACGCATGCATGATGGCGCGTACTATCCAGGCATGATGCGTACTGTCCAGTTAAACTGTCTTATTAAGGCTGAGATCAGGGCAGTTGATAGCCAATCAGATTTGCAAATTTTGTTATAGTTATGATTATAATAATAATAACACTATTACTATTATTATTATTACTATTACCACGGCTTAACTGACAGAAGCCCAACGAACATTGCAACTTAATCATCCAGACGATCATGTTCCATTCACAGTTAGTTTATTTTACTATTATCAACTCGAGTACGCAGGTATTCAATTCATCGTCCTAGAAACAAAATGGTTATTTTTTGATACTGAGACCTTAGACTTAAAGGAATTTTTTCAAAATGGACGCCATTTCAAGAATTCCAGACTGTGGGTAAGCACTCCTCAGATTTTGCTTGCCCAGGGCCACTTCCTGCTTGTGTTAGTTTATGTTCTTTTAGAGGATGACTTGCCTGGACCCTTGTACTTGGTCAGCAAGAAAATCTACTGTCATGAACTACTGAATGGAACTGTTTTTTGAGCTATGTGAAAAGGTACTTTTGTATCAAAAAAGTGGTGCGTATCAAAAAGGGCAAGGGTTAGATAGGGCCTTTGCACAGAGTATTCCTATACACAACTTGGTGGAGTGGTCCTGGGCTGACTTAAAGTGTGGTATTACAGGTATGTGTTGCTTGCACAGCGCAACCGTAGAGTGTCAAGTTACTGGTACAGGTAACTGGGGGTTAAGAGCGGCCGTCCGTAAATATCGCCTGGGGTGTGCAAAATGAAAAAATTGAAAATCGCCAAACCTTGTCAGAATATAGGTATAGGTAAACTATTTCTAGAAAAATAACTTTTAGTGCGATTGGATTTTTATTTTACGCGTACAGCAACCGAGTCGGTTTGGAGGCTCTCAGATCAGTTTTGACAGGCTCAAGAACATATATTACTTAAAAATCGTTTAATATATAGATTTAGTCAGGGCTAAAAGCAAAGCTCACGATAATATTTATAGTTTGTTCAAACAAAATATAAAATCATGTAATACTGAGCGGGGAAGGCAACGCCGGAGAATGGTGAAAAACAACAATAGGTCTAATTGGCAAAAAAGCAACTTTGCACGTGCAGCACACTTTTTTTCTACATTTCTTTGCCATTGTTTTGCACGACTACAATGTGAAACTTCCAGGAACTTCTTAGTTACGCGTTTTTTTCGTTCACTTTTTTTCACTGCCGCTCATTTTCACCTTGCATTTTCCTTGCATTTTCCGCTCATTTTCACCTAGCGGCCACCTTGGTGGCCGCTAGCATTTCTCATTTTGTGAAAGGTTTGAACCCAGGAGTCATTTCAAAAGGTTGAGTTTGATCGTTTAGGTGAACGTAGTCCTGAATAGGACTGTTGTTGTTTCCAGTGACTGACATTTCGACAACCTGTGCGGTAGTCATCTTCAGAGTCAAAGTGAGTTGTATCACGTCAGTTGATGGTTGATGGTCGCAGCATTTTGTCATTTTGTCACCGCCGTTACAAAATTTTCATGTAGTTCTTCAAACAAAAAAATGTCTCCTTTGATTTTTGTCTCTCGCTCTAAATCTCTGTCGCTCTTTTTCTCGTTGAGCTTCGCTACGCCTACTTTCTCTTTTTCTCTGTGTTTCTCTTGCTCTATATTCCAAACTTGTGGACGTGACAATTAATCTAAGCGTAATACTTTAGAAAACACAGATACAGAGACAATTTCCAATTTCCTCTTCATTGACTCTTTAGTTGTTTCTGCTCTACAAGACACGGGTGGCTATGCGATTTCCCGTCAAAATAACCTCGAGTTGCATTTGGGTTGCCATACCTGTTGATTGAGTTATTTTACATTGCTATGCCTGTGGTGCAGACGGACGGCAGTGTCAGTGTATGGTCACGTGATTACCAAATTTTCTCGGATGGGTAGTTTACCACATTTTCTTACCCATGGTGCTCCGCTGCGCGCTTCACGCGCGAGAGCTCCGCTAAAAATTATATAAGTAACAAACTCTGCCTCTGAAAATCATAATAGAAAGAGCACAACTTAACCAATAGTTTCGATGTGAAATTTTCCAATTCCACAGCAAATCTAATATTTTAAAGAATTTTAATTATTTTTACTTGTTTTACCGATTTTTGACAGACAAAAAATTGGTAAATTTTAGACACAAAAATCACTACTTGGTATACGGCTTTGAGCGATAACTTTCCTACCAGCAAAAAGAACAAGGTGTCTTCCTCAAATAACTGCAATAAAATTTTTGGGCAATCGTCTCAGGTGCTTACACGTTGCAAAGACAACCTGAACCGTGTATGTACCGTCACGTCGAGTCACGGATGTCAGACAAACGGAAAAAAATTGTGCTCCCCCTGAACATTTTCTTGTAATTCTCTACGTACTTTTGTTCATTTTTTCGCCTTTTAACCAAATTGAACTCATTATCTACAGAAGGCAGCTACAAAAAGAGCTGAAAAGATCCAAAACAATAACGTAACGTCCTTTACCTGCTTAGCAAAACACTTTCCTAACTTCCCGCCATTTTGAAAAATTGTTTGCATATTTAAGGCAAGCCGAAAGCCTGGGTTTGAATTACCGGCTGACGTCATACATCATGGCGGACCCGTAGATCGTGTACAATGGGGAGGACATGGAGGGACGTTCTCGGTGTTCAGGCTTTATTTAGTTTTATTCCAAAATTATGATCAGTAAAAGTACAAGGGTAAAGGGAAATCTACGATGTATAGGAAGAGAGTGGCATATTTTTACGACGAGGACGTTGGAAACTTCCATTATGGTGAGTTTATCCTTGGAAGTTAGCATCTAAGCTTTTAATATATATACCGGTAATAAGAAACTGGAAATTACGTGCTTTGACACATGAGTTATTTAATACTAACACAGCTTTTGATAAATCATAAGCTTGCTGTGTTCTATCAAAAGTCTGGTGTGATTTAAAATCTGTGTTGCTTACCGTGAAATTTAAGCCGAGATCATTGACCTCTGTTTATGAAAGGAAGCTCTATAATATTAACCTGACTTCGGTGTAAATGGTACTTTGAATGTTCATTTGGAACGGGTTTATGCGTTTACCACATATGACCAAGGGAAGTAAGATTTCCATATAACCCCATACATTTATTATGCATGCAGCAATTTTATACCTGCCAACTCTCACGCCTGCGGACTAAAGACATTGATCTCACGCATTAAGGACAATTTCTTATGCCTGACTCTCAAATCACGACGAAATGTTCTTTCAATCATAATTAATAACGAAAATTCAACTCAATTTCCTCAAAAATATTCCAAACAGACGCTGAAAGATGACTTCGTGTCAATGAAGCTTGATGTAGACGTCCTTGAAGAAGCATTCGCTTTATAACTTTAATTGGTCTTGTTTTGAGCATGCAGTCGCTTGGGCGGACAAACCATGCCATGTTGTGTTGTATTGGGTGAATCTTTTGTTTTCTGTCTCGCAAAACTTGATCCTCAACTCAATTCTCGATAGGTTTAGCTTGTTCTCGATTTTATATCTATTACACATGTAGTTACCTTGGGTAGGGAAAACAAAGCGAAAACAATGAAGCATTAAACAGTGCATAACAAAAGCGTAAGCTAGTTTTAAAAATGCGCTTTCAAACTAGTTAATGATTTTGTGTTAACGCAGAAAACGTGCGTGTGTTTTGCGTGTCCATAGGTTGCTTATCTCTGAGCTGTACTGTAATAAATGACCAGGGGCTGAAACTAGCCATATAATAAATTGGCCTCTTATAAATATCTACTTCCTTTGTGCCTAATTTGGTGGTGGTCTAAAGTAAGGCAAATTTCTTATAATTTTTATGGATTATCTGTCGAAAAAGATTCAGTGATCACACCTCTGTATTATTCTTAAGTCAAAAATATAACTTTGAAAATTGATGGTACAGTCTCAGTCGAAATTGTTGGGACACTTTGCTGTCTTCTTGCCCTCCCAATGTTGGTGTGCAAGATTTGGATTTAACTGCAAAAAACAACATTGGGAGGACGAGGAGATGGGCCAGAAGTAAAAAAAAAAACAGGGTTGGGTGGAAGTGTCCCAACTATTTTTGTCTGGGACTGTAGCTAACTGTACATGTGGTCGATTCCAAAAGTGATCACTTCCAAACGTAATCTTCTGTAGCAACTCTGGAATGTTGTTTGTCATCTGGTAGTTAAAAATAGTATCATGATAATTATGTATTGTTGGATTTGAAGAGTAAACATGTTTCGTTTTATCCTTTGTCTTGTAGTTGTAATGTTTGTTAAATTTGTTGGTTTTTGTAGCTTAAAAATGTTCCTTGTTTTTTTTTTTTTACCTTCAGGCCCTCATCACCCAATGAAACCTCACAGACTCACCTTAACACATAACCTAGTTTTTAACTATGATCTTCACAAGAAAATGGAGGTAATTTTTATATCATACATATAGCTCTTTATTTTCCAGGCACTAGGATCAAGGAATAAATAAATGATAAGAAATGACAGTGTTTAAGTACACTGTAAGTCATCAATTTCAGTGTCAACAGGAGAGAGAAAGGGTATTGCATATCTTGTGGGGTTCCTGGCCAATACATTAGTCGATGTCTCAAACAATAGTCTATTTCTTGACCGATCCTCAATAATAACTAGTACATGTACTTTATGTCTCAACTGAATACTGTAACACATTGCAGATTCTCAGTCATTGTCCTGTTAATTTCATAAGCAACTGTCAAAATGAATGATAATTGCGATCTCTTCTTGCCCAAGGAATGTGACCCTCCGTTTTTGTTGGTGTTTTTTTCTCATTATGGTTACATTGTATGTTACAGGTCAAATTTGATCTCAGGTTAATTTTGATTTTGATTCTCAATTTCCTTTGTCCTCAAGCCTTAGCAGACAAAGGAATTCAAGAATTGACCTAGGTTAAAAATGTTTAATCCGAGTTCAAATTAATTTGACCCGTGACAGTTACAAGAAGAATATGTTTTAAGGTGAAAAAAATGTGGATAGTAGAAGTTGTAATATTTTGATATGAATCACGTGAAACTCCACATTAATTTTTTGAGCCACAGAGGAGTACAATGTATGAGATAATGTTAAAACTACTTATTTTTCTTACGTTTTTTGCAAGATCGGTTAGTTTGAAGTCACTTTACTGAAAAATTATTCATATGGGCTCTAGAATTTAGTAAGATTCATTGTTTTTGCTACATGTGATTATTATGATATGAATTTGTGACAGTTGTTCAAGTTTTGAACATTTTGTGTGCAACTACATGTAGGAAAAAACACAGGGAAAAACAAGCACGATGACCTTATCATTTTTGCAGTTGTTTAACCCATTTGCCCCTGAGCCACCCATAACCGCTTGGTGGGATCCACATCCCTTCTACCCCTTGTGACATCATCAGTTTTAATGGTCAAGGACAACTTTGTCTGCTTACTTGTACCGAGTGAAGAGATCTTTCAAACCATACCAGAATGAACAAAATTCAGTCAAGGACATGGGAGAAAAAGGCAAAAAACCGTGTAACATTTACCTGAAAAATTCCTTGAAAATCTTGTTCCACTACCTCCAAAAAGCTTTCCTAAAATTTTTTCCACCAAATGCCCAACAAAAGAAAAAAAACGAGGAAGGAAAATTAGCCAAAAAGAGGGGAAGAGAGAAAGTGTAGAGTTAAAGTCAAGACTGCTGTGTCACTGGCTTTTAAACCCAATTTTGCTTTCTGCACATGCCCAAACTTCACAAGCTAATATTTTGCATCTGGATCAGAGGGCTGCGAACTGTACGACTTTTAAATGGCTTTATGGTAAGTTTAAGCTCTTATAGAACAACAGTGACCAGAAAACCGCTTGAGTATCCTCAAAACGCATTTTTCAACAAAATTTCCAGGGGCAAATGAGTTAATGTCCAGTATACATAGGTGTATGGCTGTCAATTGTGGCAAGTTTTTAAAAATCCGGATAGTACATGTCCATTCTTTTCAAGGGAATTACCTTAATACATTGTACATCTATGATAAAAATTTGTTAACTGCCAGCTTATGAATACATGCATGGTTGACCAATACTGCTACTTGGTCAAGACAGCAACCCAATTAAAGGGACAGTGTCCCGATTATGCGCACGCGCGAGGGTCATCTGTTTTTTCTTCAAAAGACAATAGAACTGTCAAATTGACTCGACAAGATTTCCTTCCGGACTGCACCGCCGACAGAGATTTGTTGTGTATATTCTCAAGTAATATTTTAGACTTTCGAAGAAGTTTTTCGTCTTATATCAAAATTTGGCTCGCGGTTCGAAGACTCATCGCGACTTTATCGCTAGCTGGGCCGCCTCGCGACCCGAAAATCTTGTTCCGCTCGCTTAAAAAACATATTTTCTAATTTGAAACTCGTGTCAGAGGTCAATCGTTCCAAGTCCAGTAATATCTGCCTGATTTGCTCGCGTTCTAGCCTCAAACGTTTGAAAGACATAAATAAAAATGCAATCTTAACGCTATGAATCATCACAAAGGTTAGTCAAAAATGATATTATGATTTCATGTCACTAGTTTTTCAAAACATGTAGCGCCTGTTTGTTTGATTTTGTCGGCCGTAGGGAGATTCATTTAAAAGTTTACTAACGCGTCGTTGCAAAACATTCTGCTTCACGAAGCTCCCCTCCACAAGATCTCCTCAGTCACATCAATGTCTCAACGGATTCTTTCTTACAGTCTTTATTGTTGCTGTTTCATTTCTGCGTATTCCTTTCACAATTATCTGAGCTTGTATGGAAGCTAGCAGAAGAAATAAGCCTTCAATCGGCATCAAAGTGCTTCCAATCTTTTGGTCCTCCGGCCAACGGCAATAAAGGTAACGCCAAAAAATCCAGATTTTGCCCAAATCGAAACTTAACAGGAACAATATATCATTGATCTATAATCCTGAGAAGTTTCAGTGTCGTATTGAACCCGGCCAAGCGCGATGCAAACGGATTTTTCAAGACTCTCTTACTCTCCTCGCATCTTTTGATTTCGCGACATCCTGTCCAAAAATCAAAGTTTGGTGCATGCGCAGTAACGGGATACTGTTCCTTTAAATAGCCACCAATAGTAAACTGATGTTTCAACCAATACTTAGTCTAATAAATTATAGTGTGTTAACCTGATGGTTAATACTATAAACATGTTGGTTGTTATAATAATATTGGTCTGGTCCACATTAATGAACTGAGTATCATGATCAGTCCATAACAACATTAACATTTTTACTCATTGACACAGGTGTACAAGCCTTACAGGGCTACATACCATGACATGTGCAGGTTTCATTCTAGTGATTATATACAGTTCCTTAGGAGGTAACTTTTGTTCATCTTGTCTTTTTAAGCAAAAATAATGTGGAATAAAATAAAATAATTTTGAATCATGACTGATAGTGGAGGCGGCATTGGCTGTCAGAGTGGTCAGACTCATGATCCATCTGTCAGCATTTCAAGTCCTGGTCCAACCACTAGCTTGATTTGTTTCTTGGTTATCTGAGTTCAAATCCTTGGTCACACTCATCGTAAATTAGCCAACTGATTGCTTTCTGTCAATCTGGGTTTTTAATCCCGTTATAATTTGTGCTATATGTATTTGATTCTTTTGTAATAATTTATTATTGAGTGGAGTGCAACTAAACTAGCTGGAAATCCGTGGACACTTCCACTGTACTATTAACAAACCTTTACCTTAATCTTACATGTACAATCATTTTTTGTACAGTTGAGTGTACATTTTTGTGTATTCTTTGATGGGGCAATTATAATTCAATATCAATTAAATTTTTCATGTACATGTGTCATGCCAATAAAATTAATGTTGCTAAGGAAATGAAAAAAGAATGATAGGTGGCCATCAACATGTACTGTTAGGGACCTTATGATCCAGCAATTGGCGACATCCATGAAAACGTCCCTGAAAAGTAGACTCTGCATCCTTTCAAACCATTTCGCGATTTTCCCAAGTTACCCTGTTACTTAAAAAGAAGGGATTTTAGATTGGAACTGAAGAGAGGGGGCCGCTTCTGAGTTCAAACAAGAGATAGTAGAATTTATCGTCTTGCTGTTCCCATCCTCAAAAAAATATTAAATTTGGTCATTTCATGTCGGAGTTGTGCAGGGATGGCAAAGAAAGGTACAAAACAGCGTGATGTGCGTGGACTTTGTTGTTTTGTTAACTAAACCTATTGCTTTTTGACGTTGCCATTGACGTTCCTTAAGTCCCTACACGTATTATCCGTTCCTTTGTACATTTAAATATTTTCTTCTCACCTTATTTGTTTTATTTTTAGTAGAATGTTTATTTTTATACTGATATCTTATGGTAAGAGGGGAGATTTCCCTTAAGAATAAGCCTTGGTTTTCTTCATGTTCTGCATAAACCTATTGTGCTACAATGTAATTGTTCTATAGGGTAACACCACAAAATACAGGAGGACAGAGCAAGCTGGCAAACAATTTTAATGTTGGAGAAGACTGGTGGGTACATTCATGACAGATACATGAATAAACTGTAACATACTGGTACATGTACCTGTCGCTGTATAATGGTACATTAGAGCTTTTCTGACTCCTAAATGAGGCTGCACATCAGTGCATGAGACTTTGATTCAAAAAGGATCCTAAATGTTGTCCACCACATTGAAAGCAGAGATATTAAATTTTATAAACTTTCACACTACTGTTGGTGGTCAAGTAGTCCAAAGAAAAGAATCTTCCTACATTGATTTCCCAAACCAGATTTGATAAAATAATTATTATATTGGTCAGGACAAAATAATCTAGCCTCTTGTTTTTCAGAAGCTTTATGGTGTTAAAAAATCTGGTAGTTAAAAATAATTCTATATACCTGTCAACCTGAATCTCTCCAGATGCTTATTTTTGTTCTACAGTCATGTACAACAATCTCATGTTAACATTGACAAGTACTGTGATATATACTGTAGATATGATCTACAGTGTATTAAAGGCCAGACATAAAATTGTATGTGATAAAAATACGATTGGTTTTAAATTATTTTACAACACAGTACACAAAAGAATAAAGGAGTGGTCCTTGTCATGAGCATCGAATAAAGAAAAAATCTGAGTTAGTAAAAGGAAACACACCCCTGACTTGTAAGGGCAGAATGGTGCTGCTGCATTCTATCTATGTACATTGTAGCCAGCACATGATGGAGAGACATTCACCATTTATTTAGTAATTTATACATGTACACATTGTATCATCCAAACTGCTGATGCAAGGTCAATATAAAAATACCTGTTGTTTCATAGCAGAATGCATAAAAAATATAATGAAGTATTGGTATTTTGTCATGACATTACATTGTATTTAACTTGCTGGGTCTGGGGGAATGGGAAGTTGGAAGATTTAATAACAGAGAACTTGCTGACTTTGATTATTTACTTGTTTCTAGCCCTGTGTTCTCTGGTTTGTTTGATTTCTGTTCTATTTACACGGGTGCATCCTTGGAAGGTGCCGTGAGGCTTAATCAAGGGGTATGTCGTTAGTTAACTGTCTCTTAAAAGACAGCTCACTTTGAAAAAAAAGGCAGCTTGAGTTGGTCCTAATGCCTTTCTTTACTCCTTTCAGTTGAGTCACTGCAAGTATAAAACAGACACCTTCTGTAACTAAAATACATGTCTAGTGTTGGTTCCCGTCTTTCCTAGAGTTGTCCCTGCCATATTGTTTGTACCCTCCACCCTCTTTGTCTGCTTTAATCTTTATATCAACATTAATTGCACCTGTATGTGTCGTTGATGTTTTTTTGCGGGAACCTTCTTTATTACAGTCATGTAATTTAATATGGACACTATGGCATGTATCTTTGGTGTCTGTATTATCACTAACTTTATGTTAAATGTATGATGAAGGTTCTTGACAGTGAATCTTCAGTATACATGTTACTTTTTGGATTTATTTCAGACATGAACTATTTCATGTCAGATCTGACTCATTTTATTTCATTCAGTTGCTATTAATAACAATAATTTACATAAAAATGTACAGTATAACTCTAACCAGAGTAATAAGAATCTTCCCCTTACATGTAAGACTAGTGAAAACAATGAGTGGTTTTTATGTTTTGTGTTTTGCATTGAAATTTGATTGTCAAAGTTTTTTACCCTTGGAACAGGTTTGTGATATTGCTATCAACTGGGCAGGAGGGCTGCATCATGCAAAGAAATGTGAGGTATGTGGGTGAATAACATTATGTTCTTAGTTCTTGTAAACATTACTATGCTCTTTAAATGTCTTTGGAAATCTCTCAGAAAACACATGAAAACTGCTTAATATGTACACTGTATGCTGTTTAAAATACTGATAACCTGGCAGAATCTTAACATCTGGAAACAAAAGCATTTGTTTGTTTTCTCAGGTGATTCTGCACCTGTACTCTAAGACCCTATCAGCTGTCCATTATTTTAATTTATAGTGTTTTTTTAAAATCATTTAGACTGTAAACACACGTTATACATGTACACTGTAAATAGTGACCCCAAAACTTGTCAAACCAGTTTAGCTCCTTGTTAATAGTATAATGTTATATTAAAGAAGAAGGAGAATTCAAACACGAGAAAGCTCAGAAAGATTTTCCGAGCTCCAGGTGAGAATCAAACTTGTGACCCTCCGCAGAGTTCTAGTTCGAACGCTCTAACCACTGAGTTACTGGAACTCTAATGGCCAGCAGGGTGGGAATTTAAAGACGAGTACACCAGACTTTTAGGATTGCATTGGGGACTTGCTTGAAATTTGGCCATCCACCAGTGTACAAAAACAAGACTGTATATTTATATTAAAGAAGAACCTGGAGAATTCAAACACCAGAAATTATTGTTGCCTTGCAGGCATCAGGCTTCTGTTACGTGAATGACATTGTGGTTGCAATCCTGGAACTTCTGAAGTGAGTAGGATATTTTTTTCAAACATTGTAGCACATTTGAATAGTGGCCAAACTCTCTCTCTTTTAAAACATCTCCCACTGTAATGTACAGAACAAAATAGTTTATTGCATACCATACAAAGTATTGCTATTTTAAAGACAGCACCAAAGGTAGCACTGAAAGACATAAAAATCTTGAAAAATATTTGTCTTTCAAATAATTGGCAGCACTTACATATAATCTTGTTTTTCATGTTACTGCATTTTCCCACCAAATTTCTGTGTATGGAAATCTGACTTGGATTAAAAAATCCATTACCTCACTGTGACTAATGTGAAGCAAGCACCTGAAATGTCATGTTTGATTTTCAAAAGGAAAAGGGACTTGAAAAAAAACAATGATAAATTGTTGATACATGTAATAAGTACAACTGAAGACAAAAAAAAGATTCGAACAACAAAAATGAAAAACTTAATCTTTTTCTGGGACTCAGAATTGATTTTTAGGGTTTTTTTGTTTTCTAGCTTAAAGTGTATGTATAAATAAAATAATGCATAAATTATGTATTTTTGTTGTGGGTTTTTCTTTTAAGGTAGCCTGAACCTATTTATATGCATGTTACTTATGTTTATGAATCGTGTTTTTTACAAATAATAAATTATTGGTTTTTCATTTTGAACAGGTATCATTCACGTGTTTTGTATGTTGATATTGATATTCACCATGGTGATGGAGTTCAGGTAAGTGCAGCATGCCATAAACTTTAGGTAATAGTAGTAGTAGGCCCCAGTCAGTCAGGGTCAACCATGGGTAGATCCGTCCAGGCTGTCAGCTTGGCTTGAGCAGCATCGCCTGTGACTAAACAGGCCAATCTGAGTGACAATATCTGTCACAGAGGTCGCATTTGTGTGTGGTTTTAGGTCTGGTGGTGGGATCCTTTCTGCGAGTTCGCTGCTTGTCTGCCATCACTATCAGCTTTTCATCACCCAGCGTTAGTTGTTTGTGGAGAGTGTTTCTCCAACTTCCACCGTCAGCTGCTAGGTCTTCCTTCCCAGGACTCAGTGTTGATGTCAAGGGTCCTCATGTCTCTCTTACAGACATTCTTGAATCTCAGGTGCAGGCGGCCGTGGTTTCTTTGTCCCATAGCATGTCTTCTGGGATGTGGCCATCTTCTGTGCGATGAACGTGGCTTAACCAGTGCAGCCGGCGTTATCTCAGCAGGGTGTACATGGTGGGAAGGCCAGCACGAGACAGGACTTTAACGTTGGTCACTTGGATCTGCCCAAGATGTGACAAACTCTTCCTAGGTAGAAGGTGTTGAGCCTCTTTTCCCATCTGGCATATGTGATCCATGTCTCACTGCCATATAATACAATGTTAACTGCTAAGAATGCATGCACTGTACACAGTCATCTTTGTCTTCACTGTCAACTTGGGGTTTGACCACACATTAAATGTAGGGTGAGTGAGTGTTGTAGCTGCCTTTCTGACCCTCTTATTGACCTCAGTGTCCAGGGAGAGGTTATCGCTTATTGTTGATCCAAGGTACGTGAACTGGTGATGGGAATCAAGCTCATAGTTATTGATGGTGATGGCTGGTGGTGACTGTGTATCTTGGCCCATTACATTTGTCTTCTTCAGGCTGATGGTCAGCTTAAAGTCCTTGAGAGAAGGGTTTCATCAGCGACTGCAATTTCTGCTGGATGTGAGTTGTATTGTCAGCAAACAGCAGATCTCTGATGAGGCAGGAGGGCCATGAGTCAAGTTGTTCCGAGCTGGGGATGGTCAAGATTGTTGATGCAAGATTCTCGTAGAACTTGTAGTTGTGGACAATATTGGGGTGTACACACTGACCAGAGAGACTGGGCCTTAGGTGGTGTTCAGGTGTAGAGTCAGGAGTCATTCAGAGCCACCACTGCCCAGTTCCACCATGTTCAGCAAGCTATTCCTCACTGTGAAGCCAACTCCATGCTCCTAGGGCTAGTCAGAGCTCTTTCCCTGCCAACAGAAAGGGTAGTCCTTCTCCTTCAGTTTCCCCGTGCCTGCCAATTGTGTTTCTTGCAGGGTGGCAACATCGGCATTTAGTCTCTTGAACTCATTATTTATGACAGCCCTTTTCCCGGCATCACTAATGTCCCGAAGATCTTTAGAGAGGCCCAACATCAAGGTCTACGGGACATTCTGGACAACATCCCAGTTCAAGAGCTGGTCTTTTGTAGAATTCTTTTGTTGTTGCCTGGTGCAATAGTTTATTATCCACAGTTCAGATGTCTCCCAGTCTCTAAGCACCCAATGAAGCAAGCAGATTGTGGCGGGACAACGCCTTACTGGCTGGGGGCTGCGCAGCTTAAGGTGGGTGATAGCTTTCCAGTGAGATTTGAAAATCTCTCCCACCATTGGAAGTAACCCCTGGCATCCTGATGACCGCCAATTGAGCAGTGACTTATAATCAGTAACTGCTGCTTCGATTCCCGTGTTGTGTCAACACCGATGGGAATGGCAGATTGTAGGCTGTTGGCTGATGGATGGATGGATGTAAGCCTTGGCAGTATGATATGGAGGATGGGCTGTTGCCCATGCAACTTGTACCCCCTCTCCACTTTGCTGATGAACCCAAAGGAACAGCAGGGCTGCCACAGTTTGGTGCCAATGCAGTCGCAGGAGTTGCCAAAAGGAAGTTGAAAGTCAACAACGAACTGCCTTAGGGGCTCCAACTCCTAATTTCTCCTTGAGGTTTACTCCTGAAGCCTTTCCCGTGACTGGGTATTGCCACAAGGTAGTGGAGGTTTGGAATCAGAGTTTTCCTTCTACTAGGTAACTGCCTTCCGGTCTACAAGGCTGTGAGCCACCCTAAGAAAAATTGAAATCCAGTGTGCCCAGCATATGATTTCTATGAAAAAACAGAGATTTTTTAGTCACCCGAGAACAAAAGTTAGGTGCCACGGGCCACTGGGCTCTGCTAGAGCACAGCCTTGGTCTATAATACATGTGACTATAAGCCCCTCTTTACAATGTAGCTTGTATTGAAGTGAATTGGATTTATACACTGTATCATGATGTTTTGAAGCTTAATAATTATTGTAAACCAGTACAGTCAATCCCCACTTTATAGACACCTGCTTAACTGTGGACACCTCATTATTACGGACAGTTTTCTTTGCCCCTTGCACTTACATTTTCTCTAAATTCAACCCACTTAATACAGAACCCTGTTAATACGTGGACAGACACTTGCTATGGCCCCTCAGTGTCTGTATTAATGGGGTTCGACTGTAAATGAAAAACATATTTTAATCAACACTACTAGCTATTTGTATCTTTGTTATTTGTACTGCATACTTTAACGTTTACATTTTATAGTGATCAATAAAAACTAAATAAAAAATATTTTCTTTTGATACAATGTATCTTCTTTATACAGGAAGCATTTTATCTGACCGATCGTGTCATGACACTCTCATTTCACAAATATGGCAACCACTTCTTCCCTGGAACTGGTAACTGCATAATTTATACAGTTGTATACATCACATTAATGGGCTGCAACACCTACGTGTAGCACAGAACAGTTACTAAATCATAATTACCTTGAGTAAGTGAGATGTGACTGGTTGCCTTAATGACATGAATCTTTAAGTGCATGGTGTCTAATTACACCAACCCTGTGTTTGTGAAATCCATCAGTGTTTCATAAATTATTTCTTGTGTGGTTACTGGCCAATAAAAAAGAAATATTAACATATATATAATATTGAACATTAGACTGCCGTGTTTGCTGGTTCTTCAGAGTTGTGATGGGCTGATGGTTTACGTGCCAGACTTAACATTTTGATTGTTTACTTGTCTTGATAAGGACCTTTATCTCTCCTCCCGTGCCACTCTGTCCTTAACTGTCATCGTTTTGAATTATCAAGCTCTTTTCCTTGCAGGTGACATGTTTGAATTAGGAGTTGAAAATGGAAGGTACTATTCACTCAATGTACCCTTGAGAGATGGGATAGATGATCAAGGTTGGTCCTTTGTTGGTGCTGCGGACTGGATATTTTAGAACTGCCTGTCACTTTGAAACTTTTTTTTCATAAACTTAAGTTAAAAGAGCTCCAAACTGACCTTACTTATTAAAAGTGACCAAGAACAAAGCAAACATCTTGAAAACATCTTGAAAAGAGAACGAGACCCTTGGAAAGTGAATGACTTACATGTGTATTGCTACTTATTACAGTTGATATACATGTACTGTATGGAGTGTATGACATTGCTCATACATGTAGCTAGACTGAGTGGTACTTAAAAGTGAAGAGGCTGTGTTAAGGTTCAATTCTGACAAGTGACATGACCTAAGGTTCAATTCTGACAAGCAACTTGACCTTGAAACAGTGACATAAGACAGATGAATTGGCAACAAATATGACATAAAGTTATGAATATATTATGAAAATCATATATGAGAACTGTGGGTTGAAGAATTATCTGAAAGAAGATCATTGCAGTTATAGATGTAACTTTTGCAGTTGCGAAAAGAAAGCCTGAAAAAATTCCGGCTCATACGAAATTCGAACCCTTGACCTCTGTGATACTCGTGCAGCACTCTTACCAATTGAGCTAACAAGCCAACTGGGAGCAGGTCGTTGAATTGGTTCGTTATAAACCCGTGAAAGGATGATGATCAAGTAACGAATATATGAAAATCATATATTTACATAAAGTTGGTTTGAATCTGCAACAGCAACGAGGAAAATCACAAAAACAATAGTAAGATACTGCCAGTGACATGGCCTTCTCTTCAATTTAAGTGAAATGACTGCTTTTGAAATTCAGACTAGGAACGTACATTCTCCTACTAATAGGTCCTCAGAGAATGGTTTTACTGTCATTTTTTGGAACGGAGTTTGGCCTACAGTTATTTTAGCATTATCATGACGATATTGCACGTTTTGAAACCAATAATAAGGTGTAATACAGTCTGAACTGTACATTATAAAAGTGATGTGTAACAACAAAACTTGTTATAAAGGTCACTTACAGTTTACTTTAATCTACAAAAATGCAAAACTGTTAAATATAATATTTCTTGGTTGTTAGGTTATGCTAACCTTTTCAAGCCAATAATGCAGGCTGTTGTCAATCATTATCAACCCAGTTGTATTGTCTTACAGGTAAGATATGAGCTGACCCACAAAACTAACAATGTTTAATGTTGTTAGAACTCCCTGACTTTAAGGTTTGACTTCATTTAATACTCTTCAACTGCAACAGACCATGTGCAACCATAATATTAATTTTATCATCTTAGTAGGCAGACTAGCCCCTTGAGTGCAATTTCCTCATATCACAAAGTTGATTCTTAAGCAGAGCTGTCAGTAAGGGTTGGGAGCCAGGGCTTTTCCTTGGCTACTTTGAGCTGACCACCCACTACTTTCAGAGGATTCAAATAGAATCAAATGATCTTCCTTGTTCAATTCCCAGCTGACTTTTTGCTATATCTGGCAACTTGAAATTTTACTGACAGCCTTGCTTAAGAAATCCTCGTCCATGTATGCAGTAGACAAGTACATGTACATGTACATACTGTATCTAGTCACAGCAGAACCTACAGTAAGCTAGCTGAAGCTTTTAATTGAGCTGAAATCTGTTCGTACGTGAAAATTCCTCAATTTACCACTTTGATTTTTTTATGTCTTGTTGCAGTGTGGAGCTGATTCACTTGGATGTGACAGACTGGGTTGTTTTAACCTCAGTATCAAGGGACATGGGTATAAAGACATTACTGGGTTTAATAATCCACTCAGAATATTTACATGTAAATTAATCATAACAAAGGACTGTGTTCTCGCTGAAAACAGTATGTTTACTCAAAATAATGGGAAAAGAAGCAGTCTTGTGAATTTTGTAGCAAAATTTCAATACTGTACAACTATATGTACAGTATACATGTAGTTAAGAAACAATTATGGGATTAGGCTGAGTATGATCTGAAGAATTATGGTGATCGAGGAGGGTGTTAAGCACCCTTGGAGATCTGCATAATTGTTCAGGTCAAAAACTGAATCCAATACCTAGTGTAAGAATAAACTAAAACATGCATACCCTGATTGATGTTAAGTTTCCATCTTCATTTGCCTGTTTCTTGGCTAGTTCAGGATATGAAGGGATTTTTTGCGTAGCAGATTTTCTTCAAAAAGCATATATCATCTTTAGGCAGTAGTATGGCCATTTCTTCTATGTAAAATGTGTGAAATGTTCTGCCACTTTGTCTTCTTTGGCTTCGTCTTCTCAGTTGCTGTCCTTTTTTTCTGGCAACCACTATTACAGTTGAACCTCCATTAAGTTGCCACCCTTGCCAGGGTACAGGCAGGTGAATGCTTAATTGAGCTTGGTTGCTCAGAGGATCGTCTTAATAATAAGTATAATCTTTCACAGAAACATCACTTTATTATGAAACAAACACATGACTGGAGCAGCATTAGTGGTCCACACACAGCCACCTTTTGGCCATCCCAACAATAGTTCTTCCATTGTTTTCTCCTCTATTAAGTTGCCATCAAGCACTTGACACACTTAGTTTGGTTTTATCTTAAGAATACGATTAAGGAAAATAGGTGGTGACCAATAGGCCATTTGCATGATGACATCAGTTTACTACTACAACCAGAATCCTTCAGTACTTTGCTTTCTTGGGCAAATTAGGGCTTATGTTATCGAAACCTCACTGGGATTACCAAATTAAAATATGAAAGGAAAACCGAAAAGTATTCTTCAATTATTTCAGGAATTTGGTTACTGGCCACTTTTAAAATAGCAGGTGACCGCTTAAGGGGGGTTTAACTGTAGTATTACTATTGAGGTCATTTTCTGGATATTGCAAATGCTGTCGAAATTTTGTCAATGCTAGCTGGATATGAAGACTTAGCCATGGGATATGAACCAATCAGAAACAGAGAAATATTTTGAAGGAATAATGATAACAATAATAAGTATCACAGGCTTGACTGTGATAACATCATGGTGACATCGAAACTTTTTGGCTGATTTATAATATTATTATTTTTGATAAATTTGTCTTGTTTTTGGGCAGTGAGTGTGTGCAATATGTCAAGACATTCAACCTTCCTATGTTGGTTCTTGGAGGAGGAGGATACACAATTAAAAATGTTGCAAGATGCTGGTAAGAAAAACTGCTCAAATACTACTTTACATGTATTGTTGAATCAAGCAGTGCTGTTCTTAATTTAGTCAAACGTGGTTTAGTTTAGTTGGACTGATCTTTTGTACCATTTTTTTGTAATACGCAGTACAGATAAAATTTTGTTGCCCTAATGCTTAATGCCTTGTTTGAGTTCGGATATCCTTGGGCCTACACTACTATTTTGATGAATTCCTTGATTCAATTGTCTGAATGCTTCCAGAAATGAAGTAATAGTTATGTAGAAAATGAGGGTTAGTGCTTCATCCCGGGTTCCAAAGACTAAGAAACAGTTGAAAGCACAAGGCCAAAGGTCAAGTGTTTTCATCTGTTTAGAGGTGTTTGTATTTAGTGGTTTATGTCTCTTGTGAATTCTCTAATATACATGTACATATATACCATTAAATTCATAGTTAGTTACAAATTCACGGTCTTTACAAAAGTGTTTTATTTGACCTCTGTTGCAGGGCATATGAGACATCCCTTTTAGTGGATCAAGAAATTTCCAACGAAATACCTTACAACGGTAAAATAATACTTGAAATACATATTTTGTTTTGTACAAAAGTGCATACACGCACAAGCCACCAGCCGGCTTGCTGTGGTGGCAGACCTTCATGGGGTGGATGTTTTTCTCAGCCACTTAAAAGCAAATTGATATTTGATGTGATGTAATGTCAAATTATAGGAGCTTTTAATTTGTGAACAAGAAGACTGTAACTGACTGAGCCATTATTACTGTTTGAGGAAAGATTGAGAAGCAGCTTGTCGTCTGCGCTGATACTTTCCCTTAAGTTGTGGTAAAAACATCATTATTTTCTTTCCGGAAGTCATAGCGTATTATTTTATAATATCGTTAGAGCACTGAGAGTTTTATGTGTTGTGCAAGAAATCAGTTGCTATTGTTAATAGTAGTATTCAGTATTAATTTTAACTGTTATTTAAGGTGGCTCGATACAATTTTTCAAGGCCAATACCTCCCAAGTTTGAGCATAAACTACGTCGTATGCGTACGTATGCTCAAACTTGGGAGGTATTGGCCCTGAAAAACTGTATCGAGCCACCTTAAGTATGACTATGTATTCGTGTAAAAAAGAAAGAAAAAGTTATTACCCAACTGTTTTTTTTCTAACAAAAATTATTCACTTATTATACACAGAGACCATTGCTTTGCTTATTGATGGCTTTAAAGGACATGCATATGACTTTATATCACAGAATGACATCTAAAACTGTGTTTAAGGCTTGTTACTTATACGAGTTTAGATCCAGTTGAACACCTGGTTGGATTGTGTACTTTGGAGCGGCAGACAACACAACAGTTTGGCCACACTTGAACAGTTTTTGCAATAACATTAGGGAAGCATGCACAGCGGCCCTTTTTTTTTTCTTAGTTTGATCAAATAAAAAGCGTGGAATTATTTCAGCTTAAATTGAACACATAGGACGGTGTTGGGTTTGTTTGGAAATTCCATAGAACACAGCTCAACATTACTCAATTTTGTTGGTTACAGTCATGTTAAAATGGGCCTTCTTTTCAGGTGTCCTTTTTATTGTCAAAATTATCGTTGAATGAGTTTTATTATCCAGTTTAACAATCTAACCTCTGCTGTATTTCCTTTGTTTCAGATTACTTAGAGTACTTTGCTCCAGACTTTTCTTTGTATCCTGATATTGCAGCCAGGATAGAGAATCAAAACACCAAACAGGTGCGGCTTTTAATTCAGCACTTCTTACCCTTCTCCTTTCAGAGCCTGAGTGCAGCCGCCCTTGGCCTGCGAAGAAAGCGCCGATTTTATTTTTTTTACAGTCCGCGCGCGGGAGACACGCCCCTTTTCTCGAGGGGCGCGCGTCCTCTAGACTTCTCCCTTCACCCTAAAAATAAACCGGCGCCTGCTACGCAGGCTATTGGCCGCCCTCTCCCCCAAAACGAAATTGGGGAATGAGGAATTATCTTTTGATGGAACGGGGCGGTTGACACGGCTACTTTTTTAACGTCAGTTAAAGGTTAAGCTCTAAAAAGCAAAATACTGAGGTGCATGTGTACTCCACTGAAAGCTATCAAACTTAAACGAAACTCTCATTTTCCGGATTTTCGTTTCAACGCTTGTCCTTATTGAAGAACCTTTTAACAGATTCACGATTGTTGTATAAACATTCTTTTTATTTGGTGTTTAGTACTTGGACCACATAAAACATACTGTGATTGAAAACATCAAGTGCGTAACAGGAGCCCCTAGTGTTCAAATGCAGGAGGTCCCCCCGGATTTTATTTGCCTGGAGTCATTAGAAGATCAGGAAGATCCTGATGGCAGACACGATGATGAATCAAGGTTTGTAAAGGAGCTGAAGGGAGGGGAGGTACAGATCAGGGTGGGTCAAGAAGAAAGTGTAAAGGAGAGGAGAGAAATCCATTGGGTGGGAGAGAGAAGAGGGGGGAGGAATGGACCGAAGGGATATTGAAGGGAGCCTGTGTTGCATTTCTTTTACTCTGGGTGCACTGAATGTTATGCCCAACCACGTTGTCTATAAACCATATTTTTAAGTGTTGTCCAAGTTTAAGTAAAGTTGTCAATAATTGCAAATAATAGCTCGGACAAGAGATAAGGGGCGATTGTGTACAATTTTTGAATTTATAACTACGTATTTTCTTAAGGGAAGGAAAAATGAGGCAAACACCAGAAGTTAAAAGTCGGTTATGAAACTTATACATAATCACCCACAGCTGCTATGGATGGATGGATGGATGGATGGATGGATGGATGGATGGATGGATGGATGGATGGATGGCACCTACTGTACCTACCTACCGCTGCCGCTACCTAGCTACTGTAGCTACTTACCCACCTACCTACTGTACGTAGTTATCTACCTACCTACTGTACCTACCTACCTACCTACCTACCTACCTAACCTACCTACCTACCGCTGCCGCTACCTACCTACTGTACCTACCTACCTACCTAACCTACCTACCTACCGCTACCGCTACCTACCTACTGTACCTACCTACCGCTACCTACCTACCTACTGTACCTAACTACCCACCTATCTACCTACCTACTGTACCTACGTACCTAACCTACATACCTACCTATCACCTAGACTACATACCAGGGAACGAACCCTGTTAAGATTATTATTACCTAATTTTAATATTAAAACAGTAAACTGATCATTACGGCAGGAACAGAAACAAAAATTTGCAACACAAACCTTCAACGGGGTTTCATTTTTCTTTTATATCCCCCGTTGAAGGTTTGTGTTTTGTCTGTATTTTCTTCGCATTTGATAATGATGACATGGAGTCATCGAAATGTCGTGTTACTTTTTTATCCTTGATTTTTCTTTTAAAACATAATTCACCACTTTATTTTTGTTTTCTCTCTTTATTTTTTCTACCACTCTTCCTGTCGTAAGAATCAGTTTACTGTTTTAATTTTAAAATTTGTTACTCAAGATTTGACTGATCCAGGTCTACTAAAGATCCGCCTGACCCTCACTGTTTTGTCGTTGTGGTTTTGCCTTCGCAAGTGTTTATTATTACCTGCCTACCTACCCCTTAACTGCCTAACTGGCTAGGACAGTCAGCGTTTTACTTACTCCCACTGTTATTTACTAGTGTTATCGTTATGAATGCACTTACCGTCAACTATTACTCTTGAAAAAATAGGAAATTTAAAGTTGCGCGAAAGTGCAGGGTGAGTATCTCACACTCGGCACATGCCTGATGAATGTAGAGATTACTTTACGTTGATCTCCCATTGTACAGGTTTGAGGGAGAATTTTATGACGGTGAACATGACGTGGATAAAGAAGACGCATATCTTGAAGTGTAACAAGAGGATAAGAAGACATGGATGAGAATCAACCCGGGTGAATATGCGACATATACTGCAGTAACAAGACTGGAACTTAACATCTCTTAGAAACCAAGTGAAGTTGTGGTGCAAGAGATAAATCACTTCAGGTTACTCGATCCGGAATACTGCAGCCCATGTGTACTACCACAGAGAAGAATGAAACCTCTCTTATGTGAGCCGCTTATGTTCCCGTCCAGCGGCGCTCCTCTTCATTTCCAACTTGGTTGTAGCTAATGTAAACATGTAGCATGTAAACTTGTAAATAAAGTTGGTCTTGAATGACGCCATTTTAAATGTTTACTTTGATAAAATAATTCATATTTTATAATGAGTGAAAATGTGGAAGTTAATGAGGAAGTGATTGTCGCAGTCATGAATACAATTTAAAGAATTTTTCCGAAACAAGAATGGAAAAAATCAGGCCTTTCAACGAGATTCTATCGGGTCCGGTGGGACTCTTATTCTTTACGCTTCTATTTATGCAACTGAATAAAATAACGTTCATAGCTGCAGGGATTATTTCTTTTCTTCATTTTTGAAAATGTGTTGATCCTATTGTGTTCAACAAGAAAAAGATACCTTAGTTTATTTCTAGGGCAACGTTTTTGTGTTAGAAGTACCTTTTTCTGTTTCACCAGCCCTCTGTCCTTAGTATAGTCTAGAAAAGACGCCCGTGGGTAACGGGTAAAGACGACGCGCCTCACTCCATTTTGGTCACTGATTATGGCTACCAGTATAGAATGTTACTCTAGCAACGTGTAACCTAAAAAGGTCCTCAACAATGTTACTAATAAACTGAAAATATCACAGCTTTTGCACAGTTTTATTATTTAGACCAAGGAAAGTCGACTGCACTATTTTCGTTTCAAATCATTGCCCATTGCGATTGTCTTTGTATTGTCTACTGGGCTTTTCACACATGTATGTGATACTCATTCCAGGTTATATTTACGGTTCTCCTCTATTCACGTTCTTTTAATTACCTGTTTGATCCTAATTAAACCGCTTCCTGTATCTTTATATTTCGATATTTGCTTCCGGGATTTGTCGACAGACTCCCGTAGCTCAGCGCTAAAATTTCACGGAAATGCCATCAATAAAACCCATTTGGTGAAAAAAAAATCACAATTATGGCAATCTGTACAGAAAATTAGCTTACATTTGCTAAACGCTAGCGTGCTTAAAGATGTTGATATGTTATTATTAAATTGTACATTATGTTACAATCGATACACAGTATTGATACCTCTCCTGCAAAGTTTTACAAGCTTTGGCGTTATCACAACAACATTTGTTTTCGACTGATTTTTGAAATCAAATGGCGCATCTCTCGCGTTCACGCACGACTGATAATCTCTCTATTGTCTACTGGGCTTACATTTATAGTTCATCCAAAGCAATAGTCTTTTCATATCTCATCTCCCTTGGCCCCTAGCTATGGAAGGGCTGATACTTAGTCCAGGTTCATCTCCGCTATATTTGCGGCCCTCTATTCACATAGTTTTCAGTACCGTTTTGATCGATAATTAAACCGATTCCTGTCTTTTGGGCTATTGCATTATGATACCGCACCCTCGGCTGAGGAACCATGGAATTCTCCAAGGATAAGTTATCAAAATAGAGGATTTCTTGAGGGGTAGAGTAAGAAAATATGGAAATCTTTGGGGGTGAAGCTTTCATTTTCACGAAATTCTTTAGGGGTAAGCCGATATTCTTCAGGGGTAGGACCCATATTCTTCAGGAGTAAGTCCATATTTTATGGAAGCCTTCAGGGGTGAATGCAATTTTAGCCAATCTTCAGGGGTAAGAAAAAAAGGTAAGTGCTCAACCTGGGGGGTACGGATATTAAATGCAATAGCCCTTTTGTAGTCCGATATTTGCTTCCGGGATATGTTGAAAGACGAATTACGTAAACTACTGTGGCTGAGCTGTAAAGAATTGTCTGTTTACGCCAACATAGAGCCGATGATCATCTGTAAGCTGAATTGAACTTCTTGCGAGGGTAAATTTCTATACGGTAAGGTAATTAGTTTATAACACTATCAAGTTATATCCACAATTGCCTTTGTCATAAATTCTGGCGATACAATGCCTTTGTCAGCACGTCTTTAGTTATGTGGTGATTTTGCGTCACGTCTGATGCACAATGAAATTGCACGAAACCTAACATCTGTGTCTTTATTTTGCATTTCCCAGCAATAACTTACTTTTGAAGAGGCTTATCAAAGTTTTGTGTCCAAATTTATAACATAAGCCGCTGTTTTGTTCGATTAATAGGCTTTTGATGGCTTTGTTCGGAGGCGAGTCACAGTACGCTTCCCGGATGATAGCCGGAGGGGGGGAAGTAATATAAACAATCAATGCTGACCCGTCAGGTCGAGAGAAAACCTTTAATTTGGTGCCGGATCTCTTGAAAACAAGAGGCTCTAAGTAGCCTATACTCATGCGCATTCTCGAAGTTCCTTTGCCACCAATGAAATAAACAGAATGCAGACCAATGCATGCCAACGACTAGCCTGTATTATTGTAAACTATTCCCCATTTTCACTTCCTTGCACGCCTTACTGACAATAACAGTAGTTCTAGGTAATTTGCCGCTGAGGCACTGAAAAACGATAGAAATCTTACAAATAGTAAGATTTCAAAGTTTAAACTTTACCAGTAAGCCAAAGGGATATCTGTTGCAAACAACAAAAATGTGGGAAAAACTGATCGTACTTAACACAAGAAAGAAAAAAGCGATGAAGCCCAAAAGAAGAAGTAAACTTTTTGAGCTTGAACAGGGTAAAGTTTGTTAAAATCACAGTATTTTATTCCCTTTGATTATCTTACTTCTTAGAATTCTATTTTACTCTTGTGTATATCTGAAAAGTTGAGTTTAAACTGCTCAGTATATCTTCTGTATAAAATTCTGTGTTCGAGTTCTTGTCGAGTGAAGTGTGCGTACGTTTTTCATTTCGGTCAATTTCTGGTTATGCTTGGCGTATTTCTTAGTGATGACGAGCCGATTTTCCTTGTGCTGTTTCCTTGTTCGTATGCATCCGTATGTTACTATGTATCCCAATTATTACCCGTATGATGATGATGATGATGATAATAATAATAATAATAATAATAATAATAATAATAATAATAATAATAATAATGATAATGATAAAAAGGCCTGGAGCGCGGGGAGGTGGGGGGAGGGGGGCGAAAACAGAGTATGAGACTTGGGCGAGCCTGGGAAACTCACTCGAGCGCCTTTAACCTGCGTAGCAAGCGTTTCCAATCGCGTTAGTTTTTGTTTTTGCTCTCATGATGAACTCGCTGGGAACGCTTGCCACGCAGGCTATGCGCCTTGAAAGACCGATTTTGATGGGTAAACCGACTGTTTTTGCAGTCTNGTAGTCCCATCAAGGCAGTCTTTTTGTAATTGTCTCCATTCTTTTTCCGGGCATTCGGCCAGAAATTCGTTAGAAGTTCATTCAGTTCGTTCTTCGACATTTTCTCCAGGGACTCTGTGTTTTTCACGGGTTCTTCAGGCGTAACTTCATTACAGAATGCTAGAAAAGTAGCAACGGCATTTTTAGTCGCTCTCCTTGTATTTTCGGAATCCTTGGCCTCAACCAGTTGCTGTATCTCTTCATTTGTGAGCTGTTTGAATCGTTTCCTTACAGGTTCAGGCTCCATATTTTTTGTTTTGCTGCGTTCATTCACAAAAGTTAAAATTCCCGCTTTCAATCACGCCACTTTGCACCATGCTTTGATCACGTGCTGTAATGTATCCCGAGCGGGGTACATTGCGTGATGTATCACGATCGGGATACATTTGATTTTAGTCAAGGCCACGTGACCAGGAATCAACCAATGACAGCCCCTGGTTAGTTGAGTGAAAGTCTAGGAATATAACAATGGATCTTGAGACAAGGTTACAGTTTACGATTCAAGGTGGGGTCTGCAGCTAAAGAACTCCGTTCAAAATTCTTAAACAATGGCTTCTTTGCGATCTCTATCGACCGCGACGTCTTAAAAGAAAGACTTTTAATGTTTTAGCCAACGTTTTCTATGTTTTCTTTTCGTACATTTTTTTTTATGATACCCCATCCCCAAAATGATCACACTGTTTACAAAATGTGTTATGTTTGGACCGTCTTTTGCTTGTGAAAACAACTCCAAAAAGTCAAAAAATCGATCGTGGATTCCTAGGAAAGCTTCATCTATTTCGGGCGCCCTGCGTACCACGATTTTTTGTAAAAGTTGTAAACTCTTATCGTTTAAAACGCTTCAGGTCACCTCCAGTGGCTTTTTATGCCTTTCACAGCATTGAGCATTCTCATACATAATTGTTATGATAAAAACTCCATCAAATAAAATAAGGTGTTGTTCAGAACATTTGAAACGTTGGGCTTTAAATGGCAAACATGCAGAAAACGTCAAAAAAGGCGGAAACGCTAATTACGTGGCGTTTCTGCTGTTCACGTTTTGTGTAAATCGAAGGTTGTTTATGTAAAAGCTTCATCACCACTAGGTCATTGGGACTGAGCTTCATGTATCCATTACCAATCTACAATTCTCTGTAGATGGAACATATCTCCATTTATGAGGCGAAACTTGTTAACCAAACCATAGCACACTTAACAATTTCTTATTTTAAATATCTGTTCAAATAGGGGTGTCAACGGTGCAACAAAGTCGCGACCTCTTCAAATAGTGGAACTTTGGTGCCCTTTCTAGTTCACCCTATCACGTTTTCTCAGAAAAACAGACGGGTGGTGAAACAAGTATTATTATATAACCACTGGCTAAGGAATTCTTATTCCTCTCTCTACTTTGTTCAACAAAAAGTAGCTTATTTGCTAGTAAAAGTAGCATTTGCTTAAAGAACAGTTCATAACAGCTGACATAGTTTGCGAAGTCTTCAGCTCCCATTTAAGGAACTGGTTTTTAATATTAATTCAGCTTTCCTTCACCACTGAAATGCAGACCCTTTACGTTCCATTTTTTCTCCTAGCAAGGAACTGAAAGACTGATCTTAAAAGGACGTAAACTAAGATGCCTTTGCTAATGAGGCTTTTGATCGTCCTGGGTTTCATTCCGTTGTTCGGTAAGTTTTAATCCTGCTACTTTGTTATCGACAGATTCAGTTGAACTGAGTAATTTGTCATATTCACTTAAAACAAAAAGAAGTCGGTCCCCCAATTTTTTTGTTTGTAGTTCAAGTGATTAAAACTAGATCATCCGCGCTATTAAAGATGGGGCCAAGATGGATAAAATGAACATTTTGCTAATTATTTATAAAAGCCAGGATTTTGTATAAAAGGTGCTTAATCTTTTATTATTCTTGTTTTACAGTTGTATCCAAGTCACAAATTTCAAAAGGTAGCTCCTACTTTTAAGAATTTCTCGTAAAATACCAATGTTTATTGACTGACAATTTTACTGTCAGCTATAACGCTAATTATAATTTCATTTTTTTCTTTTGCACAGCAAGCGTTTCATCCTTGTCATCCTTAATGGATTCTAGTAAGTTAACAGCATCCTTAATAATCCCTTAACTTTTTGTATTCATACGTGAGAGTCAAAACTTGTGGAGGGAACTTTGTAAAAGTATACGTCCCTTATCAAATAAAACTAACTTTTTCATTGACTCAGCTGTTTCTTTCTGCAGCCTCTAAATTACAGTTGAAGAAGTAGCGAAATACGGCGAAACAGTAAACTACGAACATCTCGTATACTGCCGGCTTAAGAATTAGAATAACTATGATTGAGGCTTTTCTGCGTGGCAATTGTCCAAGAGGCGCGTGTAGCGCTGAGTTGACTATCTGAATCTTAGAAAACGAGAACGAGTAGTCTAATTTTCTTAAAAAAAAAGTAATGCTAATACTATCTATCTTCGTAAAACGTGCAACATCGCTTTTCAACTCGTTCCGCAGCAAAGTTGCAAAACAAGTTGCACGTTTTTGTTGCCCGTTTTACTATAGCTTAAAAGTTTCTGTGATTTAGGATGTATGATCATGTATTTTTATATCAGTTGAGACGCGATATCAGTACGGCGTGAATAGCATGATCCTGGTCAAATCCTAACACTAACTGGACAAACTTATTCTATAAAGTCTTTCCTCAGGAATGTGGCATCAGAATGATACAAACGACCAAAAGAGGAAGGGTGAAAAGGATTGTGGGCGGTTCCCAGAGTTCTCAGGGAAAGTGGCCGTGGCAAGTAGCGTTATATTTTAAAGGACATCACTGCTGCGGCGGCGCAGTCATCTCTAACACATGGATATTGACAGCCGCACATTGTTTTAGTAAGTTTTTCTGCTTAGACGAAGCACAATAGAAAATTGTATTTCTTGCATAAAGTAGAATATTTTAGCATCTAGCAGTTCCCAAGCTCATCTGTTGGCGATGAGTTTAACTTCCTGTTGAAGATTTAGCTCATTGTTCACTCCTGTTCAGAAGATATATCTTCAGACCCAGTCTTTTTATTACCTCCGTTAGATCCGCACACGTCGTCTAAGCCGGAAGACTGGACCGCAGTTCTTGGAGATCATAGTCTTAAAGAAAGAGATGAGCGCTTTGAGCAAAGACGAAATATTTTGAACATAACGATACACGAGGGGTACAGATCCATGTGGTATGAAAAGATCTACGACACACCACCACTGAATGACGTTGGTAAGTGCATACTTAAACACGAACCTCGTTTCCAGGGTATTTCTTTCGTCATTCCACTAGTGTCTTAAGGCGACAAAGCAAGTAACGTTTCCGCACGATTCGTGAATAAAACACTCTTGATCCCTTCTAAAATTCACTACAAGGAAATTGAATACAGTCAAACCTCGTTAATACGGACAGTGAGGGGGGACACAGAAAGTGTCTGTATTAACGGGGTGTCCGTATTAAGCCAGGTGAATTTAGAAAAAATGTAAGGGTTTTCTTTCCCCAGGGACAAAACAAACTGTCAATAATAATGAGGTGCCCATATTAAGCGGGTGTCCGTGAAACGGGGTTTGACTATAACAGCAAAAAAGCTTGTTCAAGGCTTGTTGCGTGTTCTACGCTTGTAAGTGCTTATTTTGAATAATGGAAAATAATTATGAAGATATAGTAATAGTATTAACTATTTTAGTATAGGTTAATATAGGGCCAGTTTAAACGGACTGACTAAATTTAGATGATCATGCTATTAGACACGTATCTCTCAAGAAAAACATGTCGATATCTTTTCTGAGTCCCCAAAGACGGTGTTATGAGGAATTAAGGCGTTAAAGGCGCCACCACAAGTTTGCACGCAGCAATAAAAATTGCGAAAAATGGAAGAAATCACAGTTTTTGCTAAAATTACTAAATTCAAGTGGTAAAGGAGGTAGAAGGTTGCCCAGCAAAAACTGTGATTTCTGTGATGAGATTTGTGGATTAAAGAACGAGGCGGCACGTATAGTGGGTAACCGGTCATTTCGAATTCGACCCGGTTACTCAGCCCCCTATTTTCGAGTCATTTGGCGGGCTTTAAATGTAATGTTCCTCGTTCGTTAAGCTATAAACTACACTTAAGTGATCTTGAACATGGAAAAAAGTGAGCTTTAACATGACAAAAAACTGCGAGAAATTGCAAGTAACGCGAAATTTTGTCAGACTGGCGATTTTTTGCAATTTTCGCAAATTTTGTTAAATCCGCAAATCGGTCTGGTTTAGTGATTATTAACATGACAAAGAACTGTGAAAAATCGCAATTAACGCGAAAAATCGTCAGACTTACGATTTTTCGCAACAAACGAAAAATCGCAATTTTTGCTGCTGCGTGAAAACCTGGACATAACTGACCTCGAATTGTCATAAATTGCAGAGTATGAAAATTGTAGTAAGAGCGGCGACATCTGAGATGGGGACCAAGGTTAAATGTTGTTTGTTTGTGTCTTGTTTCTAGACTGCTTACAATGCAAATGCAATAAAAAACTTAAGTTAACAACGCAACTTTTAGGAGCGTAATCACTCATCAAAACACGCCCGTGTGAACACTAAGTAATAAAGTAAATGAATGAATGAATAATTGAATAACTAAATATACTAAAAATAATAAATAAATAAATCAGTGCGGCGACACTATTTTGGCCTTAAGGTACGCATTTAGTTACTGTTTGGTTGGCAAATGAATTAGACTTGAAAAGTAAATCTGATTTGCGTTGCATTGAATTTCAGCAATTATGAAGCTCGACAAAGCACTTGTGTTCAACACTTACGTGCAACCACTGTGCTTACCTCGACCTCATGATGTCTTCGCGCCAAATAAGGAATGTTATGTGGCGGGCTGGGGTCACACTGAGTGGAATGGTATCCAGCCGGACATCTTACGCGAGGCTAAAGTAAAAATCGTATCACGTGATGTTTGTAACCAGAAAAAGTCCTACAACGGGACCATTCACAACACTGCTATGTGTGCGGGATATCCCGAGGGAGGAACAGACGCTTGTGAATACGACAGCGGAGGTCCGCTGGTTTGTTCGAAATGCGGTCGCTATTACGCAGCTGGGCTGGTTTCTTGGGGTGATCAGTGCGCCTTACCGTACAAATATGGCGTCTATTCTAATTTGACGGTACTCACTCCGTGGATTACAGAAAGAATCAGCACATTTGAAAGAGACAAGGTTGCTTTATAATTAAGTGTCTTCCAGGGATAATTTAGTGTGGCATGTGTTAAAATTTATAACTATGTTTTCCAGATATTTTCCATTCTTAGGAACTTTCTGGTCGTTTGTAACAATGAAACGCAAAGACTGATACTGTTTAAAGCCCTGTAAACTCAATATTTGTTTCACCATAGCATGGTAGCAGCAGTAGACAGTAGAACTCATCAGTATGGCAAAGCAAGATAACGGTGAAAATTACGGAGAGGGTAAGAATCCAAAGTGTCATATTGTTGTTTCGCAAAGTCAACAAAATAGAATGGTTATAACCAATCTTTAAAAAAAAAATGCAAAGTATACAGCTTATTAGGTTTAAAAGGCTTTTATTCCCAGAATAGAAACAACATTAGAATAAAGAGGAAGAAAGAATACCGCTGAATAAAACACCAGCCACCGGGTTACGGAGAAGGGGGGAGGGGAGGGGGTGGAGACTATCCGGGTAGGATTGGGAAGGGGAAAAAAATCTAGATTGTTGAAGCTAAGCCTATTCCAAACAGCGTTTTTTTTTTCAAAAAGGTAAGAAATCACTTCATTTGTTTTAATATCCTAACGGTTTCTTTCAATGGGGTTGCCTATTCAGCCAAAAGGCTGGTTTCTATTATAGGGGCCCTTCATCTTAAAAAATAACTTACATTAAGAATTGGGGGTTGCCTTTTTATGGGGATTTAGTTCCTCTCTGGTGACAACACACTTTTGTCTTATTATTTTGACAATAAAGTTGTTATAAATAAATGAAAATTCTATTAGAAAAATCCTAAAAGAATTTAGAACTAAGTTTAAAAAGCATAAAATGAAATAAACGACAATACAAAAGTTAACTTGGAAACTCACTAAAAGTTATGATAAGAAAAACGCCTTGTCAGCGACAGAAATTCGGTATAGTTTTAACGTGTTTGTGTTTGACGCGAGTTCAAAAATGGAAGGCCTTCTCTTATAATTTGATGACATTCTCAGAGGTTTTGGTTATCATGCAATCTATTTCTCCATACTGGTTAAGGACGTACAGGGACTAGGCAATGTAACACCCTCGTCCAGTTTCCTAAGCTTTTTGAGGCTTGGCATTTTTTTCTTCTTGGTATTTATTGTTTATAGCAGTATTTGCCTTTGACAACCGCTTTGGCTGGCATAATGTCAGCGTGCACTTTAGCCCAAGTGGTGCTTGGTGAAGGGAAGCCCTCCACGTGACATACCGGTAAAATGATACTTTTTCTTCTTTCTATGTTATGTGGTCCATGATCCAAACCATAGAGAGACCTTAGGTCGACCTGGGGCATTTGAGAGAATTGAAATTATCATAACAACCAGACACTGGTATGAAAACCTGGAAGCGGAGTGAGTAAAAAGCAAAGTTCTGGGATGCATATGTTATGTCAGGTTTCTGGCTGAATTGCCAATAAAGCAATTACCAAATTTAATATCACCTCGAACAAGTGTATTCATATTCTAATCTGAAGCGCCCGAGACAAACTAAGCGCTCAAACTAAGAAAATTGCGCTCCACACAAATTCCGTCACTTTTTCAAATGGTAAGGATATGAGAAATCCTCTTTCTCTCAGGACTTCTTTAACATTTTTTTTACTTAGGACTATTTGGAGAACAGTTGTTTCTTCGTTAAGTGGCACCACAGGTAGCCCAAGCTGTATGAGTCTATTGACCTTTGTAACGTAATCCCTGAGTGAACATAAGGACCATAAGGATTTGTATGGGGAAAAAGGTCAAATAAGGTTTCAATTCCAATACCGGTAAGTCCGGTATGTAACAACCGTTGAAAATGGGCCCCAAATCGATCCAAAACCGATAGAAGACACAGAAACACAAACAAAGGACTAAAGCAGAGATATTTATTGAAAACGAATGAAAGTAACATTTTTTATTTTACCATGAGAGGCGCATATTTTTCCCATACCAATCCTCATATTTATGTCATAACGACGATCAGGGATTAAGTTCCAAAGGTGAATAGACTCATAGAGCTTGGGATACTGGTGCTGCCATATCTTTTCTTCACAACTCGCCAGGAAGCTTTCGATGAGATGTGGCAAAATGTGGAAAAGCCATCTAAAACTTGCCAAAGCATGTAGGTGATTAACTTACTTCGTTCAACAATACGCGCAACCTTTTCTGCGCTTGCGAGCATATTACGCGCCACACACGCGCAATTGTTTTTCACAAGCCAGGGTGTACCTACCTGTACGCACGGTACGCACGTGCGTACCTGAAAAAGTCGTGCACAAAAAAAGATATACAATGAATATATAATAAAAAATAAAAAATTGATTCAAAAAAGAAAGCAAAATATTTTAAGATAATTTTTTTAAGAGCACAGTTTGCCTCAATTCATTCAACACTGTTTGTTTCTTTGAAATATATTTTTTTCTAAAAAAACAACGGACCATTTTTTTTTCTCTCCATTCCACGTCTTTAATCAAGGAAGTTTTTTTTGGAGAGGGGGGGACGGAGAGGTGGGGGGGGGGCCGGGGGTGGGGGAAGTGCAAAGCGATTTGGAGAATTGTGCGTACCTCTGAAAAAATCCTGGCCACGCCCCTGCCAGCGTCAACAGGTCTCACTGCATTAATTTGTAGCCTGAAACCTTCTGCTGACACCTTACTTTAGGTTAGGTAACACTCCGTTGACGCGGGATCAAGCAGCTTGGGGAACGGGATTACCCGAAACAGAACAAAGTAAAACGGCAGTGTTACCCTGGTTCACTGTCAGGTGAGAAGGAGAAACTCACGTTTGGAGCAGAAACGGATTCTCCTAGTTCACCTTTCATTCCTGGAACACCCAGTGCACCTTTAACTCCTTTTCACCCCTCATTCCTGGCGGCCCCATCATTCCTTGTTTTCCACCTCTTTCAGGATGTCCCATGACTCCTTGTGACCCTTTTCTACCCCTCCTCCCTTAATTTCCTTTGTCACCTTTGGTTCCATCTTTACCTGGAGGTCCCGGCAGGCTACGCGGGCAAATATTCCAGTTTAGAATGTTCTGGCAAATCTTCTTAAAGCTCGAGGTAACAACATCTTCGAAAACTTGTGTCATGTCAGCTGACTTATTAAAGGATGTGTTATTGGTAATGTATCGCGCAAATCTGTGTAGTTTCTTTGTATTCCAACCTTCCGTCTGTACAGAGTCCTTTAAATGTATGAAATTTTTCATTTATAACAAAAGCAAATTTATCCTTAAATAAACAACAAATTATATGTATATCGTATTGTCTAGAATTAATAAGCGCCCGGCTGCTTATTCAACGGCGTCCAGAGTATTTCCTATTTATAGAGCTGGTCGCTTATGAGTTTCTAATTAAAGCGCTTTGGCGGCCTAAGAGATTTGCCGGATAATTTTGAGATTTATATCTGCATTCATTCATTGTTGTCCTTAGAGATCCCTGAATCTCAATTCTTTTTTATACAGTAGAACCCAGCTCCATGTGCAACCACCCCTCGTTAGTGACCAAGGTACGAGATGAAGCCTCAGTCGCCATCGCTCCCTTTCCAACACAACTTTTTCCATGGAATTTGAACTCCAACGATAAATAAACACGCTAGGCTTGTAGAAAAAGGACAGCCCCAGATGTGAAAACCAATGAAGCTTTCCCAGCTAGAGAAACGAATCCAGTAGGCTTTGCTAAACTTGAAGGATATAATTCAAAAACTGCCGAAACTTCTTGCGCTGAAGTGGCCGGGCCAGATCAAGCGGCGGTGAAGCAAATGACGCCTGGCACTGTACAAATTAAATCCACCCTGGGCTCCCCGGGTATCCAAACTAAGCCTCCCCCGCTGGAAACAAATTTGCTCGAGGACAATTGATTGTTCACTTTATCACATTGCACAAATGCAGCTTCGTTTTAGCTTTAAGGACAACAACAACTAAATGCAGGGTGAGTTTCATGGACTTTTATTGATTTCCTACAAATTTTAGGATCGTTTTTTTTACCCCATGCAAACACTGTAATTTTACTGTAACCGAACTGTGGCACTATCACGGAGCCAGGGTCACCTGTGACATAATCACGGCTGCTAAGTGCAAAAATTAACTACAGTATAACAATTCATATATAGACTGTAGATCTTCGAATGTACATTACAGTTATCTAATAATTAAAATGAAAGTTGAAATTAATCTAGGCCGGATTCACCTTTTTTTTTCAGAAAGTTAAAAACTTTTCTCACAAATGTTTTAGCATTAAGCCTTTAATCCCTAAAGCTCCCTAATATCAAAATTCAGCCTTCCTATTTGTTGTCCCTGTACGTTTCCTATAGAAATAGTGGGAGGAATTTGTTGAATTATCAATTGCTTTATTCTTATAACCGATGTGTTGTAAAGCATCACTACAAGGAGAAATTTGATGCCGATTACTCTTAGGTTAATGTCAAGTTTTATATTATTTGAACCTTTCCATTCAGTGCATTTGTGTCCGCAGTTTTGTGGAACTCTCGTAGGCGATTGCATTGTTAATTTGGGTCTTTTGCATTGTAAATAGAGCCACGTCTTCGTATTCTATTGACAGTATTAGAGATGCATGGTTGAGATATGTAATTGTGTTGACATCATATTTACACTAACCCTAGAAGCTTTATAACCTGCGATTAGGCGGTCCTACTTCGATAAAAAACGCCTGATCGCAGGTTAGAAATTCAACTATTCTTTGGCTTAAAAATGTTTCTAAGCAGTAATACTTTCCCCACCCTAACATTTCTCTCCCACTCAGCTAATGACCGATTTGAAGTACTTCACCAGCCCACCTGGTGCTCCTAGTTCTACTGCTGGTGACCGCCGAACCCTGGCACGGTAAAGTTGCGGTAGTTTAAACATAGTCTCCCTAACACATAGAGCAATATACAAACAGGATATACAGGGGTATACAGTGTATACAATACTGAGGTATACATAAGAAATCAGGTGGACCTACTGACAATAAGGAGAATACTAAAAAGGAGACTATATGAGATGACTATATGAGGCCTATCCTGAAA